ACTGAAGTGATGGCTGGCGCTGCGGCTCAATAGGCTAATCCTCCGCCTGCGGCGCTGGCACACCAGGTTCTAGTCCCGGTCGGGGCGCCGGATTCTGTCCCGGTTGCCCCTCTTCCAGGCCAGCTCTCTGCTGTGGCCCGGGAGTGCAGTGGAGGATGGCCCAAGTCCTTGGGCCCTGCACCCCATGGGAGACCAGGAGAAGCACCTGGCTCCTGGCTTCGGATCAGCGCGATGCGCCAGCCGCAGCGCACCAGCTGCGGCGGCCATTGGAGGGTGAACCAACGGCAAAAAGGAAGACCTTTCTCTCTGTCTCTCTCTCTCACTGTCCACTCTGCCTGTCAAAAAAAAAAAAAAAGAATATTAAGCAGCTTGTAGTCTGGTTGGTAGCAGCAGCAGTCTTGAGCCTCCTGCCTGCTGCCTGGCCCCTGGCCAGGGTGCCCCAGAACCCCGAGATACTGCCTGGCTCAGCCTGAAGCTGTGTACCAGACTAGAACCCGGTGCCCATATGGGATGCCAGCGCCACAGGCGGAGGATTAACCAAGTGAGCCACAGCGCCGGCCCAAGATTAATTTCTTTATTTGTAAGACAGTGTGACAGGCCGGCGCCGTGGCTCAATAGGCTAATCCTCCACCTTGCGGCGCCGGCACACCGGGTTCTAGTCCCGGTTGGGGCGCCGGATTCTGTCCCGGTTGCCCCTCTTCCAGGCCAGCTCTCTGCTATGGCCAGGGAGTGCAGTGGAGGATGGCCCAGGTGCTTGGGCCCTGCACCCCATGGGAGACCAGGAAAAGCACCTGGATCCTGGCTCCTGCCATCGGATCAGCGCGGTGCGCCGGCTGCAGCGGCGGCCATTGGAGGGTGAACCAACGGCATAAGGAAGACCTTTCTCTCTCTGTCTCTCTCTCTCACTGTCCACTCTGCCTGTCAAAAAAAAAAAAATAAATAAAAAAAAAAATAAAAATAAAAATAAGACAGTGTGACAGAGAGAGGGCTAGTTTACTCCCCTATTAGATGCAACATTCTCTGATTGGCACTTGACCCTGGGTACTAGCTGCCAACATTCTGAGTACCATCCAGGGTGTGAAAGAGAATGTAGGGATAGCAGTGAATTAGGGGCCTGAAGCTTTGGGGCAGAAGTATCCTTACACTCACACCTTTGAGCTGTTCTTACATGGCAGTACTTCAGAAAGTTCGTGAGAGGGACTGGCGATGCATTGTAGTGGTGAAGCCGCCACCTGTGATGCTGGCATCCCATGTGGGTACCCGTTCGAGTCCTGGCTGCTCCACTTCCGTTCCAGCTCTCTGCTAATGCACTTGGGAAAGCAGCAGAAGACGGGTCAAGTGCTTGGGCCCCTGCACCCACGTGAGAGACCCAGATGGCGCTTCTGGCTCCTGGCTTTAGTCTGGTCTAGCCCCTGCCATTGCGGGCATTTAGGGAGTGAAGCTGTGGATGGAAGACCTACCTCTCTCTCTCTCTCTCCTTCTCTCTCTCTAACTCTGCCTTTCAAATAAATAAATGTTTTTTAAAAAAATTCATGGGAAATGCATATTATGGAAAAATATTGGGGCCAGCAGTATGGCATAGTGGGTAAAGCTGCCACCTGCAGTGCGGCATCCCATATGGGCACCAGTTCGGGTCCTGGCTGCTCCACTTCCAATCCAGCTCTCTGCTATGACCTGAGAAGGCAGTAGAGGATGGCCCAAGGATGGCCCAGGTCCTTGGGCCCCTGCACCCACATGGGAGACCCAGAGGAAGCTCCTGGCTCCTGGCTTCAGATCAGCACAGCTCTGGCCATTGTGGTCAATTGGGGAGTGAACCAGTGGATGGAAGACCTCTCTCTCTCTGCCTCTCCTTCTCTCTCTGTGTAACTCTTTCAAATAAATAAATAAATCTTTTTATAAAATCTATGGACTTAAAATATTTTTTTGCACCAATAAAAGTTTATCTTTTAAAAAGTGTATTGATTTGAGAGCCAGAGGGACAGACAGAGCTGCCATCCACTGATTCAGTCCCAGATGTCTAAGGTAGAGTTAGGAGCTGGGGATGCAATGCAAGTCTGCCACGGTTACTTGAGCCATCACTCGGCTCCCAGATCTGCAGTAGCAAGGAGCTGGAATTGGTAGTTGGAGCAAGGTATTGAACCCACGTCCCATGACGGGTTGCAGCATCTTAACTGCCCAAACGCCTGCCCCAAGCTTGCCTCTTTTTAAAAAGATTTATTTACTATTATTTTAAAAGATTAATTTCTTTCTTTTTTTTTTTTTTTTATTTGACAGAGTTAGACAGAGAGACAGAAAGGTCTTCCTTCCGTTGGTTCACCTCCCCACATGGCCGCCACGGCCGGAGCTATGCCGATCCGAAACCAGGAGCCAGGTGCTTTTCCTGGTCTCCCATGGGGTGCAGGGGCCCAAGCACTTGGGCCATCCTCCACTGCCTTCCCGGGCCACAGCAGAGAGCTGGCCTGGAAGAGGGGCAACTGGGACTAGAACCTGGTGCCCATATGGGATGCCGGCACCGCAGGCAGAGGATTAACCAAGTGAGCCACGGCGCCGGCCCAAGATTAATTTCTTTATTTGTAAGACAGTGTGACAGAGAGAGGGCTAGTTCACTCCCCTGGTAGATAGCTGCACCATCCAGAGCTGGCTCAGGCTGAAGCCAGGAGTCAGGAACCAGCGGTCTCGTGTGTGGCGGGGGCTCAAGTGCTGCGTATCGTCTGGTGCTTTCCTGGATGCAGTATCAGGAAGCCGGATGGGAAGCAGTGCAGCCAGGGCTCAAAGTGGCACTCGATATGGGTGCAGGGGTTGCAAGCGGCACCTTGACCTGCTGTACCACAGCTCTGAGACACCAGGTTCCCATTTGTTGGCCAGCATGGAAGTCACTTAAATGATCTAGCCGCGTTGACTCTGATGTGCAGCAGTACACTGCTGGGTGTGACTCCTGTCTGAAGAACCAGGCAGCACACTGGCCTTTCCACTGTATTAAAAACGTGTATGGGGCCTGCACTTGGCGTAGTAGGCTAAGCCTCTGCCTGCGGTGCCGGCATTCCCACGGTGCCAATATGTGTCCCGGCTACTACTCTGCCAATCCAGCTCTCTGCTGTGGCCTGGAAAAGCAGTAGAAAATGGCCCTGGCTATGGCTCCTGGCTCCTGGCTTCGGATCAGCCCAACTCCAGCCATTGCGGCCATTTGGGAGTGAACCAGTAGATAGAAGACCTTTGTCTCTCCCTCTCTCTTTCTGTAACTCTGCCTTGCAAATAAATAAATAATCTGAACCAACAGAATTTTGCCCGTAGAAAGAAAGAATATTCCCAAAGTTAGTTCCTTTTGGAGCCTGTGAGGTGGGAGTGCCTGGTGCGGGGGTCATTGTGGAGGGGGCCCCCTGGGGGAGGTGTGCCTCTCTGACGGGGCTGTGGGCAGGGCAGTGGCAGCCAGCTCCAGGCCTTGTGTTGGAGTGATCTGGGACGTGAGCGCAGCGTGAGGCCCAGCAGTCTTCATGAAGAAGAGCCGGGGACGAGGTGAGTTAAGTTAGGTGAGTTCCATGGCATGGGGCCTTCATGAAAGGGTGAAGAGCGGTGGGCCTGTTCCTGAAATGCAGGACGTTCATTTCTCACCTGGTTAGTTCCCATACACTCACTGATAGTTTTTAACCTTTTTAAAAAAGATTATTTATTTATTTGAAAGAGTTACACAGAGAGAAAAGGAGAGGCAGAGAGAAAGAGAGAGAGGTGTTCCATCTGCTAGTTCACTCCCCAGATAGCCGCAACGGCCAGAGCTGCGCCGATCTGAAGCCAGGAGCCAGGAACTTTTTCTGGGTTTCTCATGTGGGTGCAGGGGCCCAAGGACTTGGGCCATTTTCTGTTGCTTTTCTAGGCCGTAGCAGCTGGATCGGAAGTGGAGCAGTCGGGACTGGAACCAGCACCCACATCAGATACTGGCACTGCAGGCGGGGGCTTTACCTGCTACGCCACAGCGCTGGCCACTAATTATTAACCTTTATTTATTTATTTATTTTATTTTATTTTTTTGACAGGCAGAGTGGACAGTGAGAGAGAGAGACAGAGACAGAGAGAAAGGTCTTCCTTTGCCGTTGGTTCACCCTCCAGTGGCTGCCGCGGCCGGCGCGCTGCAGCCTAGTGAGCCGCGGCGCCAGCCCCTAATTACTAACCTTAATAAATCTTAATGAATTTACTCAGAAATGATACTATTTATATTCCTTAATGTATAAAAGAAACTACCAAAGGATCTTTCAGAATCTTAGATGGGAAAAATTTTCCTGTATGTCCTAAGCTATAAGAACCTTGATTTTTTTAAGATAGTGCAAAAGTGAGGTATACTTAGCTTCAGTCTCTAACAGGCAAAAAGCCTGATTCACTTCTTAAGATACATATGAGGGCCGGCGCTGTGGCTCACTAGGCTAATCCTCTGCCTGTGACGCCTGCATCCCCAGTTCTAGTCCCGGTTGGGGCGTCGGTTCTGTCCTGGTTGCTCCTCTTCCAGGCCAGCTCTCTGCTGTGGCCAGGGAGGGCAGTGGAGGATGGCCCAAGTGCTCGGGCCCTGCACCCCATGGGAGACCAGGAGAAAGCACCTGGCTCCTGGCTTCAGATCAGTGCGGCGCCGGCTGTAGTGGCCATTTGCGGGGTGAACCAACAGAAGGAAGACCTTTCTCTCTCTCTCTCCCTCTCACTAACTCTGCCTGTCAAATAAATTAAAAAAAAATACATAAGAGCCTTAAAGTTGTGATCATGGATAATAATTTAATAACTGAATTGTAAAGTTGACCTACACGGCAAACTACTTGTCTGTTTCTGCCTGTAGCCTTGAGCAAGTGAACAGCCTTCGAGAGGTACAAGCCCTGAGGCGCCTGAATCCACACCCCAACATCCTCACGCTGCACGAGGTGGTGTTGTGAGTACACTTAGAGCCTGAGAAATTACCTGCATTTGGTGACGATGACTAAATCTTTTTTTAAGAAAGCCAGCCACGGTAGACGTTTGGAAAGTTTGCTTTGTAGCTCAGAGTGTGGCGGTTTCTGTTTTGTCTTCGCCGCGGTTTCTTTCGGACAGTTGCTGTGTGTTCCTGAGGGGCAGTGCCTCCACTGGGTGACTGCGTGTGTCACGCACACGGCCGGCCCCGCAGCTCGGGGGAGCACGCGTGTGCTATTTCAGGGACTGCATGTTCTCACTTTTTCCCCAGCAGCTGCCAGCGTGGCACAGTCTCCATGATTGATCCCACTTCAGGGGATTTTTCGCTTCTGTTCTAATTATAGAATAGTTTCCATGAGGATTAGGACCAGTTGGGAGGGCAGAGCCTAGGTGCCTGCCCTGGCAGCCGTGGCTCACCGAGCGGGAGACAGGAGCATCAGAGGCGCCCCTGGGTGGAGGAGGCGCTGCACTCTGCAGAGAGCCCGGCCTGCAAAGTCAGCCGTGGGACTCCAGCCCTGCCAGTCCCAGTGCAGGGGACGTGAGTCGGGGCTGGAGCCGCTTTAAACAGCCCTGAGCTATGGCCCCCTCCTGGCCTGCGGCACTTAGAAGCCAGTTCAGGCTGGGTCCAAGGATCTCAGCTGGCATAAGATACTGAGAATGCTGTGTGCACACAGTGTGCCTCACCCATGCCATGCCGAGCACTTGGGTCCCGACCGCCAGCCTGGTGAGAGCCTGACCGGGCCCTGAGTCAGCTCGGGAGGAGCTGGGGGCTCAACCCCAGGCCTCTGTCCCCACTCCGTGTCAGACTGGACGTCAGCCACATGTGATGAGACTCCGCTACTTTCCCTGACTAGATTTTGGGTTTTGCTCTCCCACTGTAATTTATCCCACTTTGACGGAGGTCATTTCTGGAAATTAAAACTAAGTTTGCAGCTATAGAGCACGAGTTACATTCTTTGTTCCCTTGCTGTTTTTTTTGTTTTTTTTTGTTTTTTTTTTTTTGTTTTGTTTTTGTTTTTTTTTTTAATTTTGCAGATAGAGTTAGATAGTGAGGGAGAGAGACAGAGAGAAAGGTCTTCCTTCTGTTGGTTCACCCCCGAAATGGTCACTATAACCGGAGCTATGCCGATCCAAAGCCAGGAGCCAGGTGCTTCCTCCCGGTCTCCCATGTAGGTGCAGGGCCCAAGCACTTGGGCCATCCTCCACTGCCTCCTCAGGCCACAGCAGAGAGCTGGAATGGAAGAGGAGCAACTGAGACTAGAACCCGGTGCCCATGTGGGAGGCCGGCACTGCAGGCAGAGGATTAACCACGTGAGCCACGGCGCCGGCCCCCCTTGCTGTTTCTTAGCCAGCTCCCAGCCTCTTTCTGATGATAGTGATATATTTTTGTTTTTGTTTTTTTGACAGGCAGAGTGGACAGTGAGAGAGAGAGACAGAGAGAAAGGTCTTCCTTTGCCGTTGGTTCACCCTCCAATGGCCGCCGCGGCTGGTGCGCTGTGGCCAGCGCACCACACTGATCCAAAGCCAGGAGTCAGGTGCTTCTCCTGGTCTCCCCTGGGGTGCAGGGCCCAAGCACTTGGGCCATCCTCTACTGCCCTCCCAGGCCACAGCAGAGAGCTGGCCTGGAAGAGGGGCAACCGGGGCAGAATCCGGCGCCCCCACCGGGACTAGAACCCAGAGTGCCGGCGCCGCTGGGTGGAGGATTAGCCTAGTGAGCCGTGACGCTGGCCTGATAGTGATATATTTTTAAGATGCACCTCCTTTTTCAAATCAGGGAGTTTTGACTTTTGCTTAGGTAGGATTGTAGGTAGTTTTAGCTGACTTTACCTGAAATATTGATTGGAAGCCCGGACCTCTGCTGTCTCAGTGGCGATGCAGGAGCTCCTTATGCTAAATGCTTACCAGAAGTGTTTGCAAGTTAGTTAAGTGTTTTGTTTTCTGATTAAGACAGAAAAAAACATTTTGAAAACTTCTTTCTCCTTCAGCGACAGGAACTCTGGTTGTCTTGCACTGATATGTGAACTTATGGACATGAATGTTTATGAACTAATACGAGGTACGTAGAATAATTTACAGCTTGTCCCTGACTCGTGGGGGCTGCAGGAGGGAAGCAGCGCGGAGGCCACGGGGCAGCCGCAGAGCCGGGAAAGATGTCGGGAGATGGGTGACCTGGTGACGTCTCCAGGGAAAGATGTCGGGAGATGGGTGACCTGGTGACGTCTCCAGGGAAAGATGTCGGGAGATGGGTGACCTGGTGACGTCTCCAGGGAAAGATGTCGGGAGATGGGTGACCTGGTGACGTCTCCAGGGAAAGATGTCGGGAGATGGGTGACCTGGTGACGTCTCCAGGAAGCAGCGCGGCCAGCATTGTGTGCTCCAGACGGCACTCTCCCCAGAGCTCACACGGGAAACCACCTGCCCGGTGTCCCAGAGCAGGTGTCACGACTGGCCGGGAGCCTCCGTGACAGCATCATGGACGGAGACGCTTCTGTGTCGTCTCCGACAGGCCAGTCCAGGCCGAAGATGCTGGGTGGGAAAAGCTGAGTGGACAGACGTTTTGTGACGAGGAAGATGCTGGTGTTGAAGACGCGCAGGAAGAGTTCCGGTGGGGTTGCCCTTAGGAAGCGGGGAAGGGAAAAGCGTCGTCCTGGTCTGTGGATTCTGTTCCGGGATTTAAAATGTGTGTGTTAGGAAGTTACTAGTGAGGTAAGCGTCTAAGTGGGCAAGTTTTTCTACGTCTCTGAGAGTTGGTACATGTAGTGGCCAGCGCTGTGGCACTGTAGGCTAAGCCTCCGCCTGCAGTGGCAGCATCCCATAGGGGCGCTGGTTCATGTCCCGGCTGCTCCTCTTCTGATCCAGCTCCCTGCTGATGGCCTGGGAAAGCAGTGGAAGGTGACCCAAGTCCTTGGGCCCCTGCACTCGTGTGGGAGACCCAGAAGAAGCTCCTGGCTTCAGATTGGCTCAGCTCCGGCCATTGCAACCATTTGGGGAGTGAACCAGCAAATGAAAGACCTTTCTCTCTGTCTCTCCCTCTACCTCTCAAATAAATAAATAAAATCTTTAAAAAAAAAACCCCAAAAGTTGGTCAGAAAACCCAAATCCTTTTGGAGATAGGATCCAATAGGCCATTGTCTTCTATCTAGGAAAACAAAAATAAAAAATACAAATTTACTAATCTTGCATTTTTTAAATTTGTAAGTGAAGCACCTCACTCAGAATGTGTTTAACCTTGTTTTCAGTATTTGTACAATCTAACAAACTTAAGTTATCTGATCTTTTGCTCTAAATTTGTGAAAAACAGAGCAGCTGTTAGAAGGAGCTCCTAGAACTTGACTCACCAGTGGTAGCGGAAAGCAACAGGTGGCCAATCCAGTACTGCAGAGTATGGAGACATACTAAATAAAGACTGAAAATATGCCAGGAGACTTCTAAAAGGTCATGGCAAATGGAATTAAAAGATAGTATTGGGGGCGGGGTGGTTGCGACGCAGATTAAGCCACTGCGTGGTGTGCCTGCATCCCCTGTGAGAGTGCCAGTTTGAATCCTTGTTTCTGACCCAGCACCCTGCTGATGTGCCTGGAAAAGCAGCAGTAGATGATCCGAGTGTTTGGGCCCCTGCCACCCGCTGGGGGGCCAGGATGGAGTTAGGCTCCTGGCTTCAGCCTGGCCCCGTTCTGGCTATTGCAACGATTTCTGGAGTGAACAAGCCGATAGAAGATTTCCCTATCTCTGTCACTCTGCCTTTTAAGTAAATAAATAAATAAATATTTTAAATATGTTTATGTTCATATAAAAATTTTGTATCTATGCATAATTTTTATAATTATGTATATAAAGTATCTACTTTTTAAAATTGTTTAATTATTTGACACAGAGAGCTCTCATCTGCTAGTTCACTCCGCACATGCTTGCGGCAGCTGGGGGCGGGCTGGACCAAAGCCAGGAGCCAGGGGCTCAGTCCAGGTCCACCACTACCTGGACCATCACCTGCTGCCTTCCTGGTTCATGTAAGCAGGGAGCTGGACTCAGAAGCCAGGGCCGAGCGTCTGACCCAGGCACTCTGACGGGGGGTGCGGGCATCCTCACTGGCAGCACACACCTGCCCTTCACAGCTGCCGTGCGCATTTTTCATGAACTTTCACAAAAGGGAGCAAGAGCAGCAGTGTGGGCACAGTCCAGATTCTCCAGAGGAGGTTCGAGAGAGCCTGGGCACGTGAGGACGGTACCCAGGCCACTGCAGTAAACGCCCTGCGTCCTGAGCTGGGAAAGGGAGTGCACTCCCGAACGGCTGCAACAGCTGGGCTGGGCCAGGCCAAAGCCGGGAGCCTCCCACAGGGGTGCAGGGCCCAGGCACTTGGGCCATCTTCCGCTGCTTTCCCAGGCGCATTAGCAGGGGGCTGGGTCAGCCGGATACTGACAGCGTGAGCTTTTGCTTAACTCGTGTTGCCACAGTGCTGGCCCGGAGTAGGGTGTTTTGTTTTTTCCCCAGATTCTTGTGCTAAATGGTTACAGTGGGGAAGAGTTTTGTGTTCAGGGAGTAGACTCCGTTTATCTGGAAATTTGACTTACTGTCATCTTATTCCACATAGCCTGGATCCATAAGGTGTGTCTCCATAGATCTTCCCCTTGAGCCTGTCTCTGTGTTTATCTGACAGTGTCAGGAAAGGGTGTTAAATACAACCAAGTGAAACAGCCACTGAACTGTCGTAGTTTATCTACAATACTGCTTTTACTAGGCAGCTCGCACTTTACTTTTTAAAGATCCTACATAATCACTTCCTTGTTTAGTAACAATTCCCTTGGCATAGGATACACGTCTTGCATTACAGTTCCTTGTGTTGCTTCCTCGAGTGTGTTTTAAAACTCAAGGAGAAAGGGCGAGAACGTCTGGCGGGTGCATGTGTAGACGTCTGAGAATAGGTCTCTGGGGAGCGGTGGGGGAGCTGTGTCGATGGAGAAACCGAGCCCACTCTGAGTGGCACCCACGGAGACTGCAGAGCAGACTCGGGCAGGCCGAGTGTGTTCCCAGGCCGGGTTCCGCGCTCTGCTCTGAGCCAAGGTGCTGCTGGAGATTCTCACGTCAGAGATGTGGAGATGTGGGGAAAGTGCTGGCAGATGGGAAGGGGTGAAAGAGTCTTTAGCGTGGACGAAACAGATAGTGATGAGAGCTAAGAGTCTATGAGTGGCAGTGCATGCATGCAAGACAGTTCTTTTTTTTTTTTTTTTTTTTTTTAAGATTTATTTATTTACTTGAAAGAGTTACAGAGAGGCAGAGAGAGAGAGAGGTCTTCTGTCCTCGGATTTACTCCCCAAATGGCTGCAATGGCCAAAGCCAGGCCAATCCGAAGCCAGGAGCCAGGGGCTTCTTCTGGGTCTCCCACATCATTGCAGGGGCCCAAGCATTTCCACTGGTTTCTCAGGCCGTAACAAAAAGCTGGATTGGAAGTAGAGCAGCCGGGACTCGAACTGGTACCCACATGTAATGCTGGCACTGCAGGTGGCGGCTTTAACTGCCATGCCTCAGCGCCAGCCCCAAGGAGTCCTCTCTTAACAAGCAATACTTGCCTATTCACTAACTTTATTTGGCTACCTTCATTAATGGGATCCTATTAGTTTATAAAGTAGCCTATAGCAATGCCAGATATCAATAACTGGTGCTCATCTAATTCTTGGATTAATCTTATGTTAATTTTTTAACTAAAGATTTATTTTTTACTTATTTGAAAGGGAGAACTCCAGAGAGAGAAGAGACAGAGAAAGAAAGAGATCAATCCTCCATCCACTGGTTCACTCCCTAAATGGCTGCAACAGCAGGGGCTGGGCCAGGAGCTGCTTCTGGGTCTTCCACGTGGGAACAGGGGCCCAAGGACTTGGGCCATCTTCTCCTGCTTTCCCAGGCCATAGCAGAGAGCTGGATGGGAAGTGGAGCAGCCAAGACTAGAACCAGTGCCCATTTGGGATGTTGGCACTGCAGGCAGTGGCTGTACCCTCTGCCCACCACACCAGCCCCAGGAATAGTTCTTCAGCTTTCTAGGAATGAACTCATTTCACGCTCACCCCTGTTGTTCCTTTCGAAGACATACCTTTGAACATTGAAAGCGCGTCTTTGGGGTCTGGCTTCCCCCTGGGGGCTCACACTCTGAGGAGGGGGCTCACACTCTGAGGAGGGGACAGGTGCTTGCGGAAAGGCGTCAGGCCCCTGGGAGGTGGGGCCAAAGCAGCTGTGGCTGTGGAGGCCCCACCGCTGGCCGGCACAGCCCATGGTCTGCACGCTCCTCTGCCTCCCTCGCCGGCAGACTGAGCCACTCAGACCCAGAACCCCTGCTAGCAGCAGTCTCTGTGTTCAGAGGCCTGGGAGAGGAGGTGTGATGGGCCAGCCAGAAGCCCGAGGCCCAGGCCCCTGGCTGCCTCTCCGAGCCCCGAGCCCCGAGCCCCGAGCCCCGATGGCCCTAGCCCAGGGGCCGGCTCTGTCAGCTGGGGTTACAGCTTCCGGAGGCGGTACTAAGGCCATGGTACTGAGGAATGGATCAGTTAGGGAGAAACAAGACGTGGTTGACTGTGGGAGCCGCGTGACGGTCCCTTCCCACGGGTGCCGTGTGACTGTTTCACGCAGCATCACTGCGTCAGACTCACGCAGTTGTGGTTGATCTCACTGTGTGACCCACTGCTCGTGAGAGGAGATGCGCTGGTTCCCGCGCCAGCAGGAGGGAAGGAGCTCACTGACCAGCCTGGGACAGATCTCAGCAGCCGGCACTTTTTTTTTTTTTAATTTAATTTAATTTAATTTAATTAATTAATTAATTTATTTATTTATTTTTTTTTTTTTTTGACAGGCAGAGTGGACAGTGAGAGAGAGAGAGACAGAGAGAAAGTCTTCCTTTGCCGTTGGTTCACCCTCCAATGGCCGCTGCGGCCGGCGCGCTGCGGCCGGCGCACTGCGCTGATCCGATGGCAGGAGCCAGGAGCCAGGTGCTTTTCCTGGTCTCCCATGGGGTGCAGGGCCCAAGGACTTGGGCCATCCTCCACTGCACTCCCTGGCCACAGCAGAGAGCTGGCCTGGAAGAGGGGCAACCGGGACAGAATCCGGCGCCCCGACCAGGACTAGAACCCAGTGTGCCGGCGCCGCTAGGGGGAGGATTAGCCTAGTGAGCCGCGGCACCGGCCTAGCAGCCGGCACTTTTAACTGTCCTCCCGTCAGGGGTGCTCTAGGTGCACCTGCAGTTCCCCCGTTATTCTGTGCCGACGTGAAGGGGACCCTGGCAGTGGGGCGAGCCTGTGGCGGCCTCTGCCCTTCCTGCACTGTGTGCCTCCCTGGCCCCAGCCTCTGCCCGCCAAGAGGGTTGGTGATGCTGCGCGGTTGTCGCTGGCGCTCTCCCCCCGTCAGTGATGGTGACACCATCCTGTGGGCGTAGCCTGGTGCTTCCAGAAGGCAGAGTTCCAGTGTGGCTGGTGCGTGAGCACACACCACGTCGGCTCAGAGCACAGAGCCGGCACAGTTCACGTCCGTGAGTTGCGGAGTGCGCAGGGGCTTACTCCCGGGGCGGTTTACGTTGGAGTTGTGGGGGGGTGCTGGCTGCTGGCTGTCGGGAAGCTTCAGGACAGCTGTCATCCAGTAGTACACGGTGTGGACAGTGCACAGCCCGCGTGTGTGCGGCATACGGTACCATTACGACGTGGGATCATCTCAGTCCTGTGAGCCCAACCCCATTGTAGAGGGAAGGAGTTGAATTTCAGAGGCCGGTGCTGCGGCGTAGTAGGTTAAGGCTCTGCTGTGGTACTGGCATCCTCTGTGGGCACTGGTGTGAGTCCTGGCTGCTCCCCTTCTGATCCAGCTCCCTGCTAAAGAGAGCAGAATAGGGCCGGTGCTGTGGCATAGTGGGTAAAGCCACCACTTGCAGTGCTGGCATCCCATATGGGCACCAGTTCGAGTCCCAGCTGCTCCACTCCCGATCCAGCTCTCTGCTGTGGCCTGGGAAAGCAGTAGAAGGTGCCCCAAGTCCTTGGGTCCCTGCACCCATGTGGGAGACCCGGAAGGAGCTCCTGACTCCTACCGCCCACCTCCTGGCTCCTGATCAGCATAGCTCCAGCCATTGCAGCCACCTGGGGAGTGAACCAGTGGATGGAAGACCGCTCTCTCTGTCTGTATTTATTTGAAAATCAGAGTTACAGAGAGAGAAGGAGAGGCAGAGAGAGAGAGAGAGAGAGAGGTCTTTCATCTTCTGGTTCATTCCCCAGTTGGCCACAACGGCCAGAGCTGCACCGATCCGAAGCTAGGAGTCAGGAGCTTCTTCCAGGTCTCACACATGGGTGTGGGGACTCAAGGACTTGGGCCATCTTCTGCTGCTTTTTCAGGCCGCAGCAGAGAGCCGGATCAGAAGTGGAGCAACCAGGTCTTGAACTGGCGCTCAGGGATGCCAGCATGCAAGCGACGGCTTAACCTGCTATGCCACAGCACTGGCCCCAAGAAAATAATACAACGAAGATGACGACGAAATGAAAAGAAGCAACAGAAGATGGCCCAAGTCCTTGGGCCTCTGCACCCACATGGGACACCCAGAAGAAGCTCCTGGCTCCTGGTTTCAGATCAGCGCAGCTCTAGCCATTTCAGCCATCTGGGGAGTGAACCAGCGGATGGAAGATCTCTCTCTCTCTCTCTCTCTCTCTCTCTGCCTCTGCCTCTGCCTCTCTGTAACTCTGCCTTTCAAATACATATATTTTAATTTTACTTTTTTACTTTAAAAAATTTTTTTAAATTTTTTGACAGGCAGAGTGGACAGTGAGAGAGAGAGAGAGAAAGGTCTTCCCTTGCTGTTGGTTCAGCCTCCAATGGCCACTGCGGCCGGCGCACCGCGCTGATCTGATGGCAGGAGCCAGGTACTTATCCTGGTCTCCCATGGGGTGCAGGGCCCAAGCACTTGGGCTTTCCTCCACTGCACTCCCTGGCCACAGTAGAGAGCTGGCCTGGAAGAGGGGCAACAGGGACAGAATCCGGCGTCCCGACCGGGACTAGAATCCGGTGTGCTGGCGCCGCAAGGCGGAGGATTAGCCTAGTGAGCTGCGGCACTGGCCACTTTTTTACTATTTTAAGTTTTTTTTTAATTTCAAGCTAGGACTCTGAACCAGCACCCATAACCTCTATGCCACAACACCAACCCCTAAATTGAAAAAACAGAAAGTAACAACTAAAACATATATCTTGGAAATTAAAGTCAAGTCAAATGTGACAGCTCTCAACAAGGCAGAACTGTGGGGCTGGGGGTGCAGTGCTGAGTTTCGAGGTGATAAACAGATGTGGGGGGGCGGTGGCTGACACAGCATTGCCTGGGCACTGCTGCCCACTCCTGCGTCAGCCGCAGCTGTCTGTGGAGGAGGGGGTGTGGGTGAGAGCGCCTGCCACCCTGCACTGCTGTCCAGCTGGGAGATGTCCATCTGCGGTGACAGGAAGCCTGTGAGGACTGCGGGGTCTACAGACAGCCAGAGCAGGAGGCTCTCAGTACTGTGGGCACTGCCATCAGAGCGCAGTGCCGTGGAATTCTAAGTGAAACCAGGCCAGGATGGAGACGTAAAGGCTTACATATTTATTTGAAAGGCAGAGTTAGAGAAAGGGAGAGGCAGAGATCTTCCATCTGCTGGTTCGCTCCCCAAATGGTTGCAATGGCTGGGGCTGGGCCAGGCTGAAGCCACATACCAGGAACTCCATCCGGGTCTCCCACGTGGGTGCAGGGCCCCAGGCACCTGAGCCGTCCTCTGCTGCTTTCCCAGGTGCATTAGCAGGAGCTGGATCAAAAGTGGAGCAGCCTGAACTGGAAGGTTCAAGCAGACTTGAACTGGCACCCATATAACTCCATATAACTCCTGCATCACAGTGCCAGCCCCAAGCACAGACACTTTTAAATAGTTTACTTTGGAGACACAATCTGCATTTCCTGAAACTACTTAGGATTATTTGGAACAGAGGAACTAAGATTTCATGTTGCTAAATCCAAGTGGGCTGCATTTTTATGTCAAGAAAGGGGCTGTGTGCCGTTGGTGACCTCGTGTGCCTGTTTCCTGATTGCGCAGGGAGGAGACACCCACTGCCAGAGAAGAGAATCGTGCGCTACATGTACCAGCTCTGCCGAGCCCTGGACCACATGCACAGGTGCAGGCAATGGCATAGCAAATGCAGCTTGGATTCGAGTTTGAGTCCACGAGGTGCAGTTAACTCTGTGCTTCCTTTCCCACTGGATGCAGGAACGGCATATTTCACAGAGACGTCAAACCCGAAAATATACTAATAAAGGTAAGGGCCGTGGTGGGCAGATGGGGCGTCAGTCGAGGTGAACACCAGCCGCCGGCTCGTGTGCTTCAGCCCCGGAAGTTGTGCCGCGCGTGCACCGTTTATTTCCCTCCCGGTTGGGAAAGCAGGTCTGTTTAATAGCTCCACCACCCCAACTAACTGCACACCTGCCAGAATGCGGGGTGCCCTTCTCACACCAGACGGAAGCTGACCATGCACGTGGGGCGGGCAGGGCCTGAGTTCAGGTCGGTCTCGCTCGAAGCACCTACAGTGCCACGTGCTGTTGCCCACGTCTGCCTTGCTCTCAGCCGAGTGCTGCGGGCTGGTAGCTAAGAGAGCCCGTGTGGGTGAGCCGAGCCACGGGTACAGCCCACCGGCTGCTCGTGGCGTGCACCCGCAGCAGCACACTGCTGAGAATGCTCCAAGGCTGCCGACGCTGGAAGTAGATGGGAAACGTGGCCAGAGTGCCTGCACGTGTGGCGCTTCCTCACCCCTGGGGGCACAGCTAGGGCATGCGCGCAGCTCTGTGAAACGGCCACGGGTGAGTGATGCCGCCTGTCCCCGCTCCCCTGCAGCAGGACGTCCTGAAATTAGGGGACTTCGGCTCGTGCCGGAGCGTCTACTCCAAGCAGCCGTACACGGAGTACATCTCCACCCGCTGGTACCGGGCCCCGGAGTGCCTCCTGACCGACGGCTTCTACACGTACAAGATGGACGTGTGGAGCGCCGGCTGCGTGTTCTACGAGATTGCCAGGTAGCGGCCTCTGAGCGGGAGGGCAGCGAGGCGGGCGGCTGTGGACCACACACCCAGTGTGCTGGTGGTGGTGTTAACTCGGTTCCCTGTGCCTTTTTGTCAAATGCTCTTCACTCCCCACGGAGGAAGGACCACCCCAGCGCAGCCCAGCCCATGTTGAGGCCTCTCTGCCAGGCTTGACACGAGAGGAGTGGTGGACGGGCATCCTGTGCGGAGGGCTGGCCTACAGGGGTGCGGGCAGGCGGGCAGGCAGTGCCAGGCCTCCGTGGGGCAGGGCTCCCTGGCTGCACATGGGAGGATGAGGCCCTGCCAACTCCCCCAGCCCGGGGGCTTCTTGGTGGGAAGGGGCAGTGGCCTAGCGGGAGGGCGAGGCTTTGTCGCTCGGGGCTGAGTGGGAGTGGCCCCTTTTGCCCAGGCTGACTCCTGAGGGCAGGTGGCAGTGACACATCGGGACGTGGGGCTTGTCTGGTCTTTGGATTCTAGGTCGTTTGTATTCATAATTTGGTAATGTGGCGATTTCGCCGAAACCCAAAGTGCCGACAGACACTCCTGTTCCGTGTGCTGCAGTCCTTGAATGAATTTGGAAGGGTGTCGAGGGACTTGGATCCTGGGACAGTGGCTCGTGCCCGAAACGTGGAGCAGCCGGCGGGGCATCAGCCGCCGGTCCCCCGGCTCCCCGCCTCGGAGCTGGTTCCCACCTGCCCCATCTTCCTCCCGGCTCTGGCCGCGCTCTGGCTCGTCCTCGCGTGGAGGCGCACACTCTGGCGTCTGATAGGAACTGAGTTCATGCAGAGCCGGAGTCTTGCACCCACAATTCCAAACGCCCTAAAAGCTCTGAGGACGAAAACCTTTCCCGGAGCTCATTTGTTAGCCAGAGCTCACCTGGCTCGCCCTGAATTTGTCACATCACCTGGGCAGCCAGGAGGCCAGTCCTGGCGGCTGTCGTGTTTGTGTGGCCGTCACAGCGCGCCATGAGGACGCGGGGTGTGCAGAGGCAGGGGCGGGGAGCTCTGAGTCTCCCCAGGACTGGTGTGCTTCCCTGTGTGTCCAGGGTGGGAGCCAGCCTGGCCCAGGGCGCCACAGCCCTGCCCCAGCCACAGTGCCCCTGTGCCCTTCCAGCCTGCGGCCCCTCTTCCCTGGGACCAATGAACTGGACCAAATCTCAAAAATCCACGATGTCATCGGCACGCCCGCGCAGGAGACCCTCACCAAGTTCCAACAGTAAGTGTGGGGTGGGCTCTGCGAGCTGGACATGGACCCTCTCCTCTGTCCACCCACGCCCGTCTCCACGATGTCCACTCAGCCCCTTGCTCACCGGGCTCCCTCATACCAATAGGGCAGCAGGTGCGTGGGCTGTGGCGGCTGCTCAGCCTGGGCCCGGCGCTCCTGGGGCTTTGTGGGGTGGTTCGTCCTGGAGCCTCTCGGAGAGTTCTCTGAGTCCCGGGGTCGTGGTGTGGTCACCTGCTGTGCCGGCCACTCGGACACCCACACAGAACGGGCGCTGCCGGGCTTGGAGGCTGAAGCAGGGGGCGGGGCATGGGGGCGAGCAGCACCTGGCAACTTGCAGCCCCCGGGAGGTCAGGAGGCCGCATGTGCCAGGATCTGCTGTCTCCAGTTCTCTAATTCATCTCACGTGGGAAGGAGACGGTCTTACATTGATCGTTGAACGGACTCACACCACCCCTAATAGACTTAATTTTTTAGGTTCACCACAGAATGGAATGTGTGGAGAGTCCTGTGCCCCCGTCCCCCACGCACGGCCCCGGGCCCCCAGTGTGGCCAGCTGTGGCACTGGGTGGATGCACATGGACACCTCCCAGACTGTCACTTCCGTGCAGACCCTTTAGGGTCAGGATGATGGGCCGGCCCAGTGCTCCAGATGATGCGGTGATCGTGTTACCGTTGGGCTTTTAATACAGGTCGAGAGCTATGAATTTTGATTTTCCTTTTAAAAAGGGGTCAGGAATACCTCTGCCGACAGCCAGTCTGTCCCCACAATGCCTCTCCCTCCTGCATGCCATGGTGGCCTACGACCCCGACACGCGAATCGCTGCCCACCAGGCCCTACAGCACCCCTACTTCCAGGAGCAGAGGTAGGCTGCCTGGGCCCCTCCCTGCCAGGGAAGGCCTGGGCCCGTGGGGCACACAGGGGCTAGGGACCTGGCTCGGGAGCCACCAGTGGTCCCCAGAACAGCTCCCTGCGTCCTGAACAGTGGTTGGTGCCTCATGGGCCGCCCGCTGTGCTGTTTCCCCGAGTGGGCTGGAGGAGCCTGGCCAGTGTCACCCAGTGACACCCAGCGACAGTGCAGATGCGTGCAACTGGAGAGCACTGTGGGTGTGCATCTGAGATGGTGCTGTGCCTCTGTGTGTGCAGCTGTGGAGGCGAGCTTGGTCCCCAGGGGCGGCGCAGGCCCCTGGCAGCGCGGTGCCCATGGTTCGGGGAGCCCTCTCTGCTCCTGGGCCAGAACCGGGCTGGCTGAGCCGGGAAAGGAAAAGGCCTCCTCCCGATAGCTCGCTCGAGGTGGAGAAAGTCGGTGGTGGTCGCGATACGGGCACACCTGCAGGGCCTCATGGTGGCTCCCCTCCTTCCTCCCTGCAGGGCAGCAGAGAGACAGGCTCTGGCTGGCCATAGAAGAGCTGCCTTCCCAGAGCACGCCGGGGCCCCAGAACCACCCAGTCACGGCTGGCCGATGGCCAAGGAGGGCAGGAAGCAGGTACCGCGTGGGATCAGCCAGTGGGACTAGCCCTGCCCGGCAGGGACTGGACGCCTCGGCTGGCGGGCGCTCTCTGAGGACGCCACCTGTGGGTGGCGGGCTGACACGGCTGTCCCGGGGCCTGAGTCCCACGCCCATTCAGGACCCTGGTTCAGATTGCTCAGGCCCTTTCTTCCCCACCAGAGGGGGGTCGTGAGCAGGCCCAGAGGAGGCCCTGACACGGTCTCTGCACGCTGCCGACACCAAGCCTCTGTGCCGAAGGCCTGTGCAGGTGCACCTCATTGTGCCCTCACGCCGCGGCCCGGCCCAGTTGCCCTCCTAGTCGGTGATGGGTCCCCCAGCTGGGCCGCCTGCCCTGTCTGCACCGGGCCACAAGCCCCCGTGAGCAGGGCAGGCTCCCAGAGTGCCGTCCGGTGAGCAGAGGTCCTGCACACCTCTGGGTTACAGACGCTGGCTTCCTTGTCCTGCCCGTGGTGTGCTGGCACCCACGTGGCTTCCTTGCTGTCTCACCAGCTCTGTGGCTCTGCCAGCACCAGGCCCTGTGTGGTGACATGCTCTCCTTCACTCAGTTCTGTCATCCTGATGTCACGCGGCCTTCCCAACACGGATTTCATACCTTGTGTCTTAGTTTGAGAGGCGGAGACAGAAGCAGACACAAGCAATAGCTGGCAAGCTGGTTCACTCCCCAGAAGCCGTGTGGGCGGGGGCTGGGCCAGGCTGCAGCTGGGCGCCTGGAACTCCCTGTGGGTCTCGAGTGGCTGGGGGGAGCCCAGTACTGGGGCAGGCACGTGCTGCTTCCGGGGGCTTGCTGGCAGGCAGCTGGGGTCTCTGGACTCCGAGCACAGCCGGGACCTGAACCCAGATGTTGTGTGGGCGTCCTCCCTGTGAGCTGAGACAGAGCCGAGGGCACTCCAAACAGCACGCGGAAAAGTGAAGTTCAAAGGTGTTTATTTTGGTGCCCAAAACCTTTGTACTGCATGCAGTACAGGCCTGTAGCCTGGCTGCTGCGTCCCCACCACTTGGATGTCCGAAAGGCAAACTCGCAGGGACCCCCTCTCCCGGGCTTCCCCCCAGACTCACTTCCTCCCTGTGCCCCTCCCATGACCTCCCCTCGAGGGGGCAAGCAGGTCCCCTTCTGCTTCCCAGACCCCAGCCCCGTGGGCTCCCACCCCGTGGTACAAACCACGCCACCAGCAAGCCCCGGGGCCACCTTTGTCTTCTGCCTCACCTCACCTCCTGCCTCTGCCCACAGTGCTCTCTGCTGGGCCCCCCTTGGGGCACTTACCCCAAGGCCTCAGCTCCAGTCACATCCGGGCCGGATGGGCACACACGGCTGCCCAGGGGGGCTGTGGGGCTGTGGGGCTGTGTTCCGGGCAGACTGGATCCTGCCTTTTACATTCCACAGTTTTCACAGTGGCAAACATGTTTTTCCCAAACAGTGCCAACGCCACTTGTAGTTCAGGAGCCTTAGCAGGCACAGGCAGGCTTGGGCGCAAGGTAGCGGCGTGAGAGCCGGAGGCCACGGTCACCTGTCACGTCACCGTGTGTCACCTTTGTGACGTGAGGCCGCCTCTCTCAGCACCCCCACCCCCCACCCCCGGGTGCTGACTGCAGGGGGTGCACCAGGGTGGCCCAGTCCGAGGACACGCCCCGTCTGGGAGGTTGGGTGTGAGTTCTGCCTCCTGCAGGCCGTCCTGGGACTCCGGGCCGTGTGTGCTGCAGGCACAGCTGGGCCGCGGCGGTGCAAGGAGCCTGCGTCGGCTTCCTGGTGTGCGTGGGCGGCCGCTGCAGGCTCACTGGCCCTCCCTTGTTTCCAGAAGGCGGCCCTGAAGCAAGAGGACGCCCAGCCCCGGAGAGCAGGCCCAGGCTACGTCACGGAGCTGCCCCCGCTGCAGCTCCCGGCAGCGACCAAACTATCCTCGCACTCCAGCCCCGCGCTGCCCTCGGCGTTTGCCTGGGGGGCGAGCGGGACGGTGCCCCGGCTGAGACCCCTGCAGCGCCGCGGGCCCGACAAGCAGGTAGCTCCTCGCAGCCGCTCCCCGGGCTGCCCGCGGGGCCCTCGCAGCCCCGACTCAGTGTCCCCGCTTCCCTTCACAGAGGGACGCCCGCAGGGACGCGAAGCCTCACCTGAAGCCCTGGCGCCTGCCCGCCATCGACAGGAAAGGTGGCGGGTGCTGAGCAGCGGGGGGCGGAGGCTGGGGCTGCAGACTGCGGGGCTGGCCTGCCTGCACGTGCACCCCAAAGCCGTGGGCGCTCCCTTGGGGAACCACCTTCCCTTGGCCTCATTGTCCCAAAGGAAGAGCTTGAGGGAGAGGGGGATTTGTAAGTTTGTGTGAACCAAAACAGGGCCTGGGCTGCATGCAGCGTGGCCTGGGGTGGGGTCTGATGTCAGCCTCCACCTGCAGGCACCTGTGCACTCTGGCGGCCCCCCACGCTGCCCGCGCCCACCCCTGATTCTATTAAAGAGTGAGCACCTCTGTCCTCATCATGCTCTAGCGTCTTAGGGTAACAGACTGTGTCCAGAGACTGCAAACTCCATAAAGGAATAAAGTCAGGCCTGGCCTGTCCCGGGCGCCCGGCTGCGCCCCGAGAGCTGCCCCAGGCGAGTTGCCTGAAGGGTCTTTTCCAAACACGAGGCCTGCAGACAGTGACCGAGTGCATGTTCCTCCTTCTCATCTCAAACTGAACAATACGAAAAAAGCTAGACTTCCAGGCTGGGGTTCACTCTCCCCGCTCCCTCTGTGGAGACGAACCCGTGGCCCCTTCCTCCTGCCTGCGTCCCGCTCCCAGGGGCGGACACAGGAAAGCGAGGGGCGGAGCACCCAACCTGGGCCCCGCGGGGGCACCGGAGCCCAAGAGGAGCAGATGCAGGACCAGCAGTGAGGCTGGCGTGGGCGGGGAGGCCAGGGAGCAGCTTCCTGCTGCACCCGTTTCAGAGCCTGGTGTGGCTGCAGGGCCTGACCGGGGTGTCTGCCATTCCTGTGAGGGCCTGAGAGCTGCAGCCAGGTCACGGGCACGCAGGTGGCAGGAAAGGCAGGGGCCCGCGAGACGGGCACGCTGCCTGGGAGCTGGCAGGGGAGGCTGCCCGAGACCCGTCTTCGGAGCGCCGGCTCTAAGTTGGGCACACTCACAGAGTACCACATGTCTGCATTTACCAGAGTTCTTCCCCTGCCAGGGTGTCGGCTATGAAGGGAAAGGGCTCAAAGTTCTGCATCCCCCCCCCCTTTTTTTTTAATTTAAAAAATGTTTTGCTAGCACTGTGGCATAGCAGGTAAAGCCACCCCCTGTAGTGCCAGTGTCCCATATGGGCGCCGGTTCCTGTCCCGGCTGCTCCATTTCTGATCCAGCTCTGCTGTGGCCTGGGAAAGCAGTAGAAGGTGGCCCAAGTCCTGGGGCCCCTGCACCCGAATGGGAGACCTGGAAGAAGCTCCTGGCTCCTGGCTTTGGCTTGGTGCAGCTCTGGCTGTTGCAGCCAGTTGGGGGAGTGAACCATCGATGGAAGACCTCTCTCTCTCTCTCCCTCTCCCCCACACCTCTCCCTACCTCTCCCTTCCACCCTCCCTCCGTCTCCTTCTCTCTCTGTGTAACTCTTTCAAATAAATAAACAAACCTTTAAAACAAATGCTTTAAAAGATTTGTTTATTTGAGAGTTACCCAGGGTGGGCGGGGAGGCAGAGAGAGATTGAGCTTCCATCTGCCGGTTCCTCCCCAGCCGAGGCTGGGCCAGGTGGGAGCCAGGAGCCAGGAGCTTCTTCCGGGTCTCCCAAAAGGGTGGCAGAGCCCCAAGCACTTGGGCCATCCTCCACAGCTTTCCCAGGTGCATCAGCAGGGGGCAAGTTTGGAAGTGGAGCAGCTGGGACTTGAACCAGCCACGACTGCAGGATGTCAGCATCAAAGGTGGCGGCTTAGCCCACTGCACCACAGTGCTGCCCCCTCCCCTTTATCACACGTATTTATTTGAAAGGCAGAGTGGTAGAAAGAGGGAGAAACAGAGGTCTTCTATCTGCTGGTTCACTCCCCAAATGGCTGCAAGAGCTGGGGATGGGCCGGGCCAAAGCCCGGAGCCTGGGACTCCATATCCGGGTCTCATGTGGGTGCAGGAGCCCAAGTACTTGGGTCACCTTCAGCTTTCCCAGGTGCATTGGCAGGAACTGCATCAGACATGGCGCAGCCAGGACTTGAACCAGCGCCTACATGGGATGCTACACAGCTGAGCCACAATGCTAGCCCTACATTTTTTAAAAAGATTGGTTTATTTGAAAGGCAGAGTGACACACACAGTGATAACTTCCTGGCCTCTGGTTCACTCCCCAAATGGCTGCCAGCAGTTACTGGGCCAGGACAAAGCCAGAACTGGAACTCCATCTGGTCTCCAGTGTGGGTGGCAGAGGCCCCACGTGCTTCTCCTGTCTCCTGCTACCTTCCCGGCGCATTGACAGGGAGCTGCAAATGCAGTGAGCAGCAGCACTCCAATATGTAAATGTGTATTTTAAAAATTTATTTGTTTGAAAGAGCTAGAGAGAGAGACAGGTCTTCAGTCCATTGGTTCACTCCCTAAATGGCTACAACAGCCGGAGGAGCTGTGCCGATCCAAAGCCAGGAGCCAGGAGCTTCCTCGGGGGTCTTTCCACAAGGGTGCAGGGGCCCCAGCACTTGGGCCATCTGCCACTGGTTTCCCAGGTCATTAGCAGAGAGCTGGATGGGCAGTGGAGCAGCCAGGACTCGACCCGATGCCCATGTGGCATGCTGGCACCACAGGCAGATGCTTAATCTACTATGACAGTACCGGCCCCTAGTACTCCAGTATTATTATTATTTTTTTTAGAAAAAATTTTTATTTATTTGAAAGGCAGAGTTCCAAAGAGAGAGAGGTTTTCCATCTGATGGTTCACTCCCCAAAATGGCCGCAGTGGCCGGAGCTGGTCCAATCCAATACCAGGAGCTTCTGGGTCTCCCACGTGGGTGCAGGGGCCCAGCAGAGAGCTGGATCGAAGTGGAGCGGCCAGGACTCGAACTGGTGCCCATATGGGATGCCGGCACTGCAGGCGGCGGCTTTATCCGCTACACCACAGTGCCAACTCCAGCTGTCCAATATATTTTTTAAAAGATTTATTTATTTATTTGAAAGTCAGAGTTACACAGATAGAGGAGAGGCAGAGAGAGAGAGAGAGAAAGAAAGGTCTTCAGATGGTTCACTCCCCAGATGGCCGCAATGTTCGGAGCTGTGCTGATCAGGAGCCAGGAGCTTCTTCCGGTCTCCCATGCAGGTGCAGGGGCCCAAGGACTTGGGCCATCTTTCACTGCGTTCCCAGGCCATAGCAGAGAGCTGGACTGGAAAAGGAGCAGCCGGGACTAGAACCGGTGCCCGTATAGGATGCCAGCTCTTCAGGCCAGGGCGTGTTAACCTGCTGCGCCACAGCGCTGGCCCCAAGTCCAGTATTTTCACACAGGTAAATCCCGCCTTGCTGTCAGTTAGATTCCCTCCTGTGGCTTCCTCCAGACAGGAAGAGACAGAATGAGTGAGGGGATGGCTAGAGGGGAAGTTCCAGACGTGATTTCCAAAGGCATTTGTGGCTCACTTGCAGGCATCTGGCCCCGCACGGGCGGGGTCCCTGACACCCGGAACAGAGCCTGCAGTCGGCAGTCAGCTGCCTAAAATGTGCACACACCTGGTGTCGGCAGGAAGCCCGTTCCTAAGTGTGTTTCATGAGCTCGGTTTCATTAGAACCTGCTGACGCGCGTGCATTTGTAGTGCTTAAGAAGCTGCTTGGGGGGCCGGCACTGTGGCGTAGCGGGTTAACGCCCTGGCCTGAAGCGCCGCCATCCCATATGGGCGCCGGTTCTAGTCCCAGCCGCTCCATTTCCAATCCAGCTCTCTGCTATGGCCTGGGAAAGCAGTAGAAGATGGCCCAAGTCTTTGGGCCCCTGCACCCACGTGGGAGACCTGGAAGAAGCTCCTGGCATCGGATCGGGGCAGCTCCGGCCGTTACAGCCATCTGGGGAGTGAGCCAGTGGATGGAAGACCAATTCTCTCTCTCTCTCTCTCTGTAAATTTAAAATTAATAAAATAACTTAAAAAAAAAGCAGCTGCTTGGGATGCTGGCGTCCCACACTGGAGTTGGGTCCTAGCCACCCACATCAAAGACCCGGATCGAGTGTGTGGCACAGCTTCAACCCGGCCCAGCCCCACGCATCTGGGGACTGAAGCAGTGGGCACGGAACTCTTGGACTCTGAAACCAGTTTTTGTTACTGAGACTTTAGTATTTCGTATTCACTTTCTGGAAGGCTCACACCACAGGGCACGTCCCAGAGAACAGGCCTTGGGGGCAGCTGGAGTCACGGAGCGGGGTCAGCCCCCGTGGCCCGACTGTGACCGGTCCTTCCACGTGGACCATTCACAGAAATGACGAACACCTAGCCGGCCTCTCCAAGGCCCGAGACGACCTGGAGGTGCCCCAAGCTGAACGAGATCCCTCAGAGCGCTGTGCCTTGGGCGCCGGCTGGCGCGTTCTGGGCCTGGGCTCGGCTCCAGGGAGCTGGCGGGCAGAGGGCACCTGCGCACAGCCCGCGGGCAGTCCCCGCCGCTGCTTCACGTCTCCCAGCACGTAACAGAGCCGTTTCCTACTCACCGTCAGAAACCGTGGGATACGGAGTCACGGGCTCTCGGAGACACACAATGGGACGCTAAGCTGAGAAAAAGTGAGCAGTGGACAGCGTGGCCGCCCTGCGTGGCTGCGGATGGGCAGTCACGTGGTCTTCAACCTGACACTGACCTCCGGAGCCCTCCAGGAACACGGCGGAAAAGGGTCAGGGTAATTCCATTAACCAAAAACTCTGTTAAAAACTGAGCCAACTTCACGAAGATAAACAAGTGGTATATTCAAGATAGTTTTAATATTAATTTTTTGTGAATTAGAAATATCACTCTTAAATGATGAAAATTATCAGTGGAGTAACTATTCCCCCAATTGCAGAATTACATTATTTATACATATAATACAGAGTTCATTGCATTGGAAACCACAGTATTAAAATAAAGTCAACACATAAAAAGGGCGCCTGCACAGCGCGAGGGCCGTGAGTCCGTCACACCCAAATGCAAAGTCTTTTTCTATCAGCGCTAAACTATTTTAAGTGCAAACAATTTTTTAAAATCTATGATTGCAGCATCCGTCTTCCTGAATTCACACATTTAGGTCAGAAAGTGACAGCTCCGCACGCGCGCTGGGCTGTCCTGACCACTCAGGTATAAAAAGAAGCAGTGCAAAACCAAACAGGGCCAAGGCCTATCTCTAACCGCAGAACCGCGGGGCCCGCTTGTCTGGGACAGTCTGTGTTACACTGTGTGCACAGGCCTGTACTCCACACATACGTGACATTTAATTACATTGAGTTTTAGGGTAAAAAGCAAGAATACGCCATTTCTTATTTTCACTGCAGCTCCGAAAGCCCGGTCTGAAAGGGAAGCAGGTTCTCCGGCGCGCGGCGCCGGCTCCGCCGCCGTCGCTCCGGCAAGGCCGCGTCCGGGGAGTGTGCGAGCTGCAGCGGGGTCTCTACACTACAGTTCCACCTGGAGAACTGGCCTGGCTTGGGGATGACAATAAGCCCTGCGAACAAAGCAGTTTCCATTAATCCAGCAAGACACTGGGCAGCCCTGCCGCCACAGCTCACCCTGCTGCAGACTCCGGCGTCCACAGGCATCACCCAGAGGCATCGCCGCGGGGCGCCCCCAGCCCTGGAGCCTCAGCACCACGCAGGAGAAGAGGCGGGGCAGCCTGGGTCCTCTGGAATTTCACTGGCCCAGGGTGTGGACAGCGCACCCCGCCCCTCGGAGCCAGGGCTGCCCTGCCAAGGACAGCGTCCAGTGGCTTTTTAAAAGGCATTTTCCTCCTGGGCTTCTTGCTTTCTGTGTGGCCACGTGAAGGTGGCAGCCTCTGGCCGTAGCTCTCCGGTGCACAGGGTCCAGGCCGGGGCACAGGGAGTCCCTGAGGCTGGATGTGGGGAGAGAGGGTGGGACCAGGACGATTCAGATGGCTGTGCATCTGTCACAACAGGTGGGACCTGTCCCCTCAGGGCCCGAGCTTAGACAAGCCTAAGGCTCAACCCCTTCCAGAGCCCAGAGCAGTCACACTGTGCGCACTTCTCGCTGGGAGGCACGGGTCGCAGCAGTCTGGTGTCCGTGCCTTAGTGCAGTGGTCAGCACGTAAGCTGTCCTGAGAGGGCTTCGACCGGAGTGTGTGCACTGTCCGCCGCGGAGCCTGCCGGGGCCGCGACCTGAAATCGACCTGCACCTCGCTGCTTCTCCGGGGGCTTGTGCACACTTCCCACCTCGCAGCTGGACTCTCACCAGGACAAGGCCAGGAAGCAGGCAGCTGCGGTGGGATCTGTGGGAGCTCTTTTTCCTCTGGGACCCGTGACAGGCAAAACCGCATCCTGACTTCTGTGGCCTGGAGTCTGTGCACCTGCGCTCCCGCCAAGTCACAGGCCCGGGACGGGCAGGGGAGGCAGCGCGGGCAGCGCGGGCCCCGAGGCGGACGCCCCCTGGGAGGCTCTGCCTTTCCAACCGTCCAGAAGCAGACTCAGATCTACCAAATGAGGAGCCCCTCCTGTTCCCACCAGGGGCAGGAGGTGCTCTGTTTCTCCCTGCGACCCAGCCTGGGGACAGCCAGAGAGGCGCCCCTCGGCCACGGGGCTTCCCGTCACAGGTGGTGGCCGCAGGCTGGGGGGGGGCCCGCTGTCGGGGGCCGGGAGGGAACGCAAGCTGCACCCTGAACAGCTTTTCCAAAGGTGAAGTAATTGTAGTATCTCCACCGAACACGTTCCACATATAAGCAACAGGAAAGTTACTAAGGTGTCTCTGCAAAGCTTTGCCGAGTAACTGACACGGACAGCGACCCGGACCGCCCCACCCTGGGGGCTCCGTGGCGCACGTCGTTCGTGACTGCTGTGGTGAACAGCAAGGATCTAAGGCACAGAGGTGGCTTGAAGTCGGGGTGGGGGGGACCTGCTCTAGTGGTGAGCAGCTCCCCTCCCCTGGTCTGCCGGCCCACCCTCAGGGTGGAGGGAACATACCCTCCGGGGACAGCCGGGTGCTGGAGGCCGCCTCATCGCCCACCATCCTGGGGATGTTCAAGGGCCTCTCTGGTCACGTGGCTGTAAAGCAGTAACATGCCAGCTCGCCCTGGACAGGTCTCCTGCAGACAGACGGACAAAGCTCTCATGGGAAGCCCCGGTGCTGGCCGGCCCCGAGGCTCTCCCGGTGCAAGCCGTGTGCCAGGCGCACCCCTGCATTAAGAACCCTGGCCCTGGCTGCGCTTTCCTGAACCGCCAACCCGCGATAATCCCAGCACTCTCGCTGCACAAAATTCCCAGTGAAAGCGCCAAAGGGCAGCTGGCCAGAGCTGCTGCTGCTGCTGAACTCCGAGGCGCAGAGGGGCCTGGTGCGGGAAGCAGACGGGGTGCGGCCCAAGCTCGGCTGTGCCGCCCGCCCTGCGCTGCCACCCTGGCTCCTGCTGGGCAGCTGGCCGTGCCCTTTCGCTAGCCTGGACACACATGCTCCCCAGGAGGCCCTGGACTTGGCCCAGCGGCGATGTCCTTTCAGCCCCTGGGCAACAGCAGAGGGAAGGGTCCCAGTGCCCCGGGCGCACGGGAAGTGTGCACACTCCTGTGTGAGCCCTCGGCTGGGGGCAGGAGGAACAGACCCCACTGCCTCTTCCTACAGCCCTTCTACCCTGAGTCACTTCCAGGAGGACCCTGTCCATGCTGTCCTCACCGGAAGAATTCGGACACAGGAGGGGAGAGAGGCCTGTGGCTTGGTGGGGGGGGGACCCCACCAATTCAGACGCCACCACTTATTTCCATGGGCAGCGGTACGTGGAAGAATGGTGAGCTACCTGCTTTTGTGAAGGTACAAACTCGTTATTTCTATAAGATCAACATGTTTTTTCTCTAAGCAAAATGAATGCCTTGCTGTCTACCTAGGGATCTGCAGGGCGAGCAAAATACACCCCATCCCCACGGGTCAGGCAGAACCGGGCGCAGAGCGACCTGGACACAATTCAGCATGGGGGGGAGGTGCTGCAGACCACAGGGAAGCTTCTGGAACCCACCCCTGGAGAGGGCTCGGAGGAAGTGACACGTGGGAGCGCCGTGGGCAGCTCAGCGCAGCCCTGTCATCACCTGTGACTTTGAAGGTCTCGGGGATGGGGGCCCGGGCCCTGTGGAGAGGGAGGGACCACAGTCCTCAGCAGACGACAGAGACGGCCTGCTCGGCCGGTGTCTGGGCCAGGGCGGCCGCCACAGCCATCTCAAGCCTCAGGCAAAGCGTTCCCAACTAAAACCACAGCAGCCGCCCAGGCCCAGGAAGAGAGCTCAGCAGAGGCCCGCTGGAGCCCTCTGCCCTCTCCCGCTGCTGGCTGGGGCTGGAGGTCAGCTCCGGTCCTGCCCCCCCGCCTCAGCACAGGTGCGGCCACGGTGCCCGTGACACTCACGGCCATCAGGGAGCTGCTGCTGTGGGGCTCAGAACCGGCCCTAAGAGGTAGCAATTCCGTGGCTTCTAGTTCTGCAAACACGTACAAGCCTCAACGTCACAGCGTTGAAAGCTTTTCTTTTTGGTTCACTGAGACTTTTTAAAGCTCAGATGTGAAAATGATTACTGAGAGTTATCTACATTTACAATTCACTCGCATGTTTATTTAATGTCAATATACAGAGGACAGCCTCAAAAAGTACGTCAGAATACCAAGTACGTAGTGAACCTCTTCAGCTGTGACAGTGACAAGGGAACAGCTAAAACAAAGCAGTGAAACAGAAACATGATCTTAAGTTTATAAAGCAACAACACTGACATTTTTAAAGCTTCATTAATTATTGCAAGAGTTAAAAATTTACCAATATTTCATGTTAGGAAGGCTCTTTATGAAATTTATTCAAGTTAAGATGAAAATTTTAAAAAGGAAATAAATACATGTGGATTTTTCTTTTGATTTCCACTGCAAGTTAATATTCATACAATTTCATACAGTGTTTTTACCTAAGGTAACAGTCTTCAATGAGCTCTGCATATTATGCAGGGGGTTTCTCTTTTACACTTTTAGACTGAGAGACAACAACTCGACTAGGACCCGAGGTGGATGCAGCAGGCGCAGCGTGGGTGAGCAGGGCGCCGGCGCGGCTCCTCGTGAGCCCGGTCCCGAAGGCGACGGGTGAGCGCATGTGCCTTTCAGCGGTCACCAGTCTGGGTCATGACCTGAGGTCCCCATCAGCCCTGGGTGCGGGGCACTCTGGACAGGGAAAGGCCTTGCCAGCTCTGCCCTGTGGCCGCTCCCTGCCGTGGCCCAGGGTAACCCTCAGTGTCTCAGGGCGCCCCGTAGGCCTACACAGGCGTGCAGTCCCGCTGCTGCGGGCTGACCTCAACACCGGGCGCAGCCACTGCCACGAGCCACTTGCTTCCTTCCCTGCGTTCCCTGGCGTGGAGGCCCCTCAGCCAAGCCCTCACCCACAGAAAAGACACATCCTTCCCCCGCAGAAGCCTCGGGTGCAGCCTGCTTCCAGCTCTTCTGCAGGAACAGGACGCGGCGCTTGTGTCTATCGCTGGCGGTCAGCTCCCCCCGCTCCTCACACTGAGCTCGCTCAGCAAAGACGGCCTCTCCCAGGCAGGCTGCAAGGGGGCCTCGCACTCAGCTGCAGGTGCGTGGCAGGACTGAGGGTGAATCTAATACTTAAAAAGTCCAGATGCGCCACAGGAGTGGGGTGGGGGGAGGGGCTGCCTGCTGTGGGGCTGGAAGAAGGCAGAGCCTTGCCCCTCCTGGTACTGGAGCGTCTGAGACCACCATCAGCTGCGCAGTTCCCTCAGTCCCAGGCCCACGGCTCCAAGGACACTTCCGAACTGCTGCAAGATTCAAGCAGCACACAGCTCAGGCTCTGTGCCACCACGTACGCACGTAACGTCAGAGCCCGAATGCTCCAGTATTTTTAAGGTGTCTGCCTGCTCTCTCTTACACACCCCCTCCTTTAGCCTCTCGGGGAGGGCTGGCCTGCCTGCTGGAAATGACCACGTGGAGCTGGCCTCTGGACCTACCGGAAGGTCTAAAAGTGGCGAGCCGGGGCAGGGCAAGCCGAGGGGCCCCCAGCACCTTGGCCCAGGACGACCGTCAGGCGGTACTGCACTTGACTGCTGTCTGAGCCTTCCAGGTACGCGGCTCAGCACACAACGGCCAAGCAGTGCTGACCAAGGAACGACGGCCTCCTCTTCCAATTGCTGGGTTTTATTTATTCCAAGGCTTAGGTCAGAGAAAGATATTCTCACCCATATTCAATTCTGAGCTGAAAAACTCACAGGGAAGCTCAAAGTTCAGTGAGAAAATTGTGAAGGTGTTCCCCCCGGTTCTCCTGGCAGTCACTGGAGGTGGCGTGGCACTGACTGTACCTCACACATCCGCGGTCAGGAGCCAGCGTGGCTGCCCTGCCCGCCCCACCCCTCCCAGGTCTGTGGGAGCCAGGACTCAGCAGCACATCCAAGCAGGGGCCCGCCCGCCCCTCTCTGCAGGGCCCTCTTCTCTCCGGCTGCCGGGCACCTTAGTTCTGGTCTTGGAGAACACCTTGCACTCTGTCCTCCTGCCTGCAGAAGTGCTCTGCCGGCTGTCAAAGAAAGGAGGCAGCAGTCAGAGGGGCAGAGCGGATGCTGCATGTGGCCCTGCAGGGTCCCAGCCCTCCGCTGGCGCCGAGCCGTGGGGACGGGGACAGCGAGGGGCCCCAGAGAGATCTCTCACACACCAGCATCAACTGGAATAGACTGGACAAACCTCCAGACTGTGACATGATCATGGTTTGTAACCTGGAGGCGGGGGTTGTACGCACCCACATCCTCCCAGCTCCCCCCACCGCCCTGTCCTCACACCCCCGAGATCCCTCCCGAGACAGCAGGGCAGCGGGCGGCTACGGGACAGAAGCCCGCGAGCACCCTGTGGGCTGTGCTGCCCCCACGAGCGCACCCTGAGGAGCGTCACCTTCAGAATGAGGGTCACCAGCAGCGTCCCCGTGACTCTACTTACCTGGGGTCAGCCACCTCCTGTTCAGGTCAAATACAAAGTCCCGAATTTTGAAACTGCATACTCAATGCCTCAGAAGCATTTGAAATATGATTTCTAAAACCATGTAGCTGCCTAGAGCGCACATGCAGTGTTCACTCCTCCTCTCTCCACCTGACACCCAATCTGGCACCCCAGGTTGAGTCAGTCCACAAAGATGACCATGTCTGCTACCTTCGACCGGTTACCCTTTGGGCCACACTTCGAAGGCGGGCAGGGTAGGACACTGAAGTTCTCCAGAGGCACCTGGGAGGCCGCGGTGCTCTCCCAAGGCAACACGCCGGGGGCTAGACCGTGGGGACCGGACCCGCACGACTGGAGGCGCGAAGCTGCTGCTCTGTCTACAGGAGTCAGTCAGTCAGTCACCAGGTCTCTGCATTCACGCTGGAACCAGCACACGCTATTCTATTTGATTACGAAGGTGTGCGGAACAGAAAACAAGCCTAAATGCCCAAGTATGTTAGCAAAGAATTACCATCTTGACAAAAAACACATAGCTCAAGGACCCACCTCACCCACTGTGCAAACTGGGATTCGAAAAGCCCCTCCGCGGCTGACAGCGATCCTGAGGGAACCAGCCCAGTCCTGCAGCACAGCCTCCCGGGGGCAGAGGAGGCCACGCGGCCCCACTCCTGAACGGCCGCAGGCCCCGGGGCCCTGCAGAGGTGCCGGGCAGCATCAGCGTCCCAGGAGTAATGGCAGAGTCACAACTGCCTTCCAGGAAGAGGGGACAGCAAAGCCTGCCCTGCGCGTCCCCTGTGGGAGACTGAACCCAAGCAGGTGCCTGTCAGGCAGCGCTGCCACAGGCTGCAGTCACATGTCTTGCTGAGCCAAACAAAAACAAAACCAAACAAAGCAAAATACAAAGAACCCTCCTCTTCTCTCACTGGGGAAAAAAAAAAGTATGTAAAGTGCATCTGAGGTCAAAGGTCTTGGCTCATGCGGCAAGAGGCACTTCTGACAACAGCTGTTGGCGACCTCAGCCCACAGTTCACTCTCTGTCCAGACTCTGGGTCATGTGAAGACTTTAGTGCACAGAATCTCAATCAAAGTTCTACAAACTGCTTCTTTGAAAAAAGATGTTTATTAAACAATTTTAATTGTCATAAAATGACTAAAATGGGTTTTAAAAATTAAGGCTCTTCTCCTTCTGTGGATTGCCAGAACAATGTAAAAATAATATCAATCAACCCTGAACGCTTTGTCCCTAACGTTAAATTTCATAGACTCCTAAACAGTTTTATGATTAAGATAAAAAAGTGGACTATAAATGGCAACGGCCCCTTGTACTGAACACACACTCTGATCAGGTGTACAATACTCTAATGGAGTAGTTAAGCAAAAGTATTCCAGTTAAAGCATCGATTTTAATTGTAGCATTTTAAAGTCATCGTTTCCCAACACTGTCATGATTTTCCTACACCTGAAATAGTCTGACACAGGAGTGCTGGCCTTGGGACTCTACGCTCCCAAGAGGATGACTGACCTGGCTGGCAACTCGCTTGATTATATTTTTAAATGCTCTCAGGTGAATTATCAAATGATTCGGAATTACATGGCATGCAGTATCCAAAATTATGGCTCTGATGCATTTGGATTTACATCAAGAATCAGAAGTGTCATTCACATTCATTGTACACCCCACCCCCCCTCGAGAAAAAACAGTTACTACCTATTCAAGTCTAGATCCGGTGCAGCATTAAGGATTAAAACTTACCACTTTCCCAGGCCTTCCCCACGTGCAAACAAATCCCTCCTGACAAGCAGTGACTATACAGTCTTCAAGGAAAATCAATACCGTCAGTCTTTCATGCGCTATCTTTTTACAGATCAGTGGCTCTAACAAAGGGACGTCTTCCATTCGAGGACACAGGGGCGTTCCCAGAGTTTTAGCAGGGTCCGTTTTTGTTTTAGTAACTAGATTCAGTTTGTCACTACTCTTGCTAGAAATGTGTCCCATGCTATGGTTTCGCTTGTGATCTTTCTCGTGGTGCCTCTCCTTCCGGTCGTGTAGTGAGAGTGTCGCAAACTTGCTGACCCCAGAAGCAATGGCGCCATCCATGACGCTGCTTTTGCTGCCAGCATTGGAGACTGCTGAGTGGGGAAGGCTGTTGGACCGCGGCAGAGGAGGGGGCATGGAGTTTCCGGGCGTGGTGACACTGTTCCCATTGCTTCCAGCAGGAGGACTTGTGGCATTCATGACATTCGTGTGTGTCCTTGCTCGCGAAAGGGGTTGGTGAGGGAAAAGGATGTCTTCTGTGAGGTCCCACAAGCACAGCTGTGTGTCCTGGCCCACTGAACCAAACCGGTATGTGACACTTACGGGGCGGCTGTCTGTAGAGTTCCGTTTGGACAGCCGGGACTGTGTACTATTTGCTCGATCTCTGCCAAAATGGAGAAGGTCTTGGAAGTCCTCGTCACTGCCACTGAACTCCATAGGGTCACTTTCTTCCACACTAGTGGTATAGGGGTCAAAGGCCACCACACTGACCCAGGACTTGTGCCCATGGCCTCTAGCTATTACTCGGCAGTCTACAAAAGACCAGACTGTCACCAAGTCGTCCTCTCCACCCGTCACAATGTACTTGCCGTCCGGGCTCCAGCACACACACAGCAAGCCCCCAAAGTAGCTTTTCATCGTACCGTGCAGCTCCACCGAGTCAAAGTTGAATACCCGCAGGAACCCGTCCTGGCTCACGCACGCTAAGAACTTGCCATCTGGGGAGAAAGCAAACTCATTGAGGGCCCCCTCGCCCACCGTCCACTTAAGGAGAGGGTTCCTCGTGGATTTGCTCTTGCAAGTGTGCACGGCAAAGCTCTCTCCCTGCTTCAGGAGCTGGTAGTGAGGGCCAGTGGTGCCACAAGTGTGCTCCACGTTATACAAGTACATGTTCCCACTCGAATGAGCCACTAGGAAAAGGCTTTCCGAGCCGGGGACCCACTTGACACAGGTTACTCGTGACTTGTCTATTAGTCTCTGTGAAGACAAAGGAGAACAAGTTATCACAACAGAGAAGTCTGAAAGTCGGCTCTCCACCAAGAAAACGAGTCTGCTTCTCAGTGAGCCGGGAGGAGTCCGTCCAGGCACGCCACATCTACCCTGCGGTCAGCCACGCCGGGAGGGCACCAGGCTCTGGACAGCGTGTGCCTGAACCGCACTTGGCTCAGCCTCTGACCTGACTTCACAGAGGAAGTCGGCCTTCCGGCAGTAGGTGCCTACTCGTGCCAGACACTGTCCCAGAGCTGGGCTGCACCTCCTCTCTGAATCAGTGGCTTACTGCTCTGGGCCTGGCACCTCTCTACGGTGACCTCAGGCAGTGCGCCATGCCTCCCAACTGGAAAGCTGTGCCTCCCGGGTTTCTCGGCACTCACTGTCACTGCGAGTCAGGTGCACACCGCACCCGCCTCCTGCTGCGCCTGCCTGAGGTGGGGTCAGCTCTGGCCAGTGCCAGCAGCATCCGGGGCTCCAGAGCAGCCTTCCCGGGCTCAGCCTCGGCACGTGTACTGGCTGTCCTCTCTTGACCGAGGTGGTGTTTAGACATAACCAGGTGATTAGCTCAAGATTATGCCATCATCACTAGCATTCTACCCTGTGCTCAGTCCTAGTCCACTGTCCTAGTTGTTTCTCTAAAAGGCATTTATCAGCAGTCTTGCCTTTAAAACAAAAGAATGAATGGCAAAAAGTAAAAAAATCCCAAAAGGCACACAGTACCCTTCCTGCTTGTGCCAGGGAGGTCTAGCATGGCTGCTTCCCAGAGGGTCCCTCTCTGGTGGCTTGGATTCAAAGTCACATCAGCAGAAGTCACCCAGAAGTTCCCAAGACTCACAAGTTCAACCTCAGAACAGCGCCTAAGGGAGCCCAGCACTCTCTACAGACTTGCGTTTCAGAGGGGCACAGGGCACACTGGGGGGCCTTGCCTAGAAACACTGCTGCCTTCTGCCCAGCTGGCTTTGTGTCTGCTGTATCTTTTTAAGAATATTACAGAAATTACTTGATTTTCAAAAGCAGGGCTACAAAAGAAGAAATGAATGAGCCACACATACTCACTGCATGAAAACTAGCTCTCGGAGGCTAACCAGCAAGTCCAGGCAGGAAGAACAGGGCCCTAATCCCTGGAAAGCAGGTAAGCTGAGGGGGCTCAGGGTGCTGCAGCAGGACTCAGTGCTCACTGTCACCTAACGGCAGGCCTGGAGCTCTTAAATTAACAGGTACCACCCTTGGGGACACAGCCAACATTTGCATCCTCTGCCTCTTTCCCTTCCTGCCTGGTGACCTACCTATAAAAGGCACCTGACCTATGTCACTGCCAACAACCTAGAAACCCAGCAGGACTCTGGCAGGATCTCTGTAAGAACTGCTCAATCCCTCTGACAAGAGATCAGGGGGTAGTCTACACGGCTTGACCAGGGCTTCTGTGGCTGGGGTTCAGGGCTATGTTGACGGTGGGTTCTGCATGGGAGCTGTCGGGCTGCCCCAGCATGTCTGCTCACACAAACGTGGCTATGCCTGAGGGCACCCACAGCGGCCTTGCCAGGTGGGCCTGCACAAGCTGCCTCACGCTGGGATGCCAGGCTGCTGTCCGTACCCTGGAAGAGGCTCTCTCAACGCCTGCCCCTAACCTCTCACCAGATTCAAATCCAAGATCACTTCACTGTTACTCTCATGGGCACAAAATTTTAAACACATACTTGGGAATGGCGCTGTGGCTCACTCGGTTAATCCTCTGCCTGCGGCGCCGGCATCCCCTATGGGCACTGGGTTCTAGTCCCGGTTGCTCCTCTTCCAGGCCAGCTCTCTGCTGTGGCCTGGGAAGGCAGTGGAGGATGGCCCAGGTGCTTGGGCCCTGCACCCGCACAGGAGACCGGGAGGAGGCACCTGGCTCCTGGCTTCGGGCTGGCGTAGCTCCAGCCATAGTGGCCATTTAGGGGGTGAACCAACGGAAAAGGAAGACTTTTCTCTCTGTCTCTCTCACTGTTAAAAACAAAAAAACAAAAAACAAAACAAAAAAAAAAAACACACACACACTCCTCTGCATTTTGGACTCTGTCCCAAGTCCCTGTTAATCAGCTTCCTGGCTCTCTCTAGGTGTCTTCATGGGTACAAAGCCAAACACAGATACAAGCTTATTGAACCTTCTTTTTTCAGACTGTGCAAGTCTCACTTCTGCTTCCTCATTCAGTGACACACCTCGCACATCTGCCTGCTGGGCACAGAGACAGCTCCTCATGCTTTGTCATCTCTGCAGAGATTCAAGAATGTGAACATCCTGTAGACCAACGTCAAAGAGCTGAATAACCCTGTACAAAGGGCAGCTCTCACTCATGAACAGTACACCTGGAGCATAAATCCCCCATGGAAGAGCTGGGTTAAAGGTATGTTTAGTTTTTGAGATACTGCCAAATTGCCTCCCACATAGAATACAATTTGTATTTCCAGCAGGGTTAACAGTGCCTCCTATAGGAAGGTAGATTCAACTATGTTGTTACTTCAAGGACAAGAGGCTCAGATAGGTCAAAAAGTTGCCTGAAATCCCGTTCTCTCCGTGTTGAGCGTGCACCATATGCCAAGAACCGACACACACCAGTTCAAGCAGACAAGACTTCCTCCACAGAAGGGGGTGTGTCCGAGACATTTATGGAATCTGATGGCAGTAAGTGCTGTGGAGGACAAACCAACCAGGGAGACAAGAGAAAACCAAGTGCCGGGGAAGGGTTTAGTGGTTCCAACCTCAAAGATGATGGCTGGGAAAGGTCTCTTTGGTACTGGGCACAGCTGAGCCAAGACTCCATGGAAGGGTGGCAGAGAGCAGGCTGAGGGGATGTCCGGGAAGCGAGGCAGGAGTGAACCAAGCCCACAGAGACGCAGCAGGGTGCCAGGGGATGGGGAAGATGGTGCCAATGGAAACCAGCACCGGTCCCTGGATCCCAAGGTGGGCGACTGTCCTGTCACCACACACAAGTCAGCCAGGTCTGGAGACCAGCTGCCAGAGCCACTCACAAGGCGGCCTCTCGGGAAGAGGGTGCCAGCCAGCCTTGCTTGGCTGCCAAGGTCAGGGTGGGAGGTGCAACTCCACTGATACCCACTGGATTTCACATGTGATGGGACAGTGCTTGGGTTGGGTCAAACAGAAGAGGAAGAAAGTGTTTTACTCCTTTTTTTTATTTTTTGACAGGCAGAGTAGACAGTGAGAGAGAGAGACAGAGAGAAAGGTCTTCCTTTGCCGTTGGTTCACCCTCCAATGGCCGCCGTGCTGCGGCCGGCGCATCGCGCTGATCTGATGGCAGGAGCCAGGTACTTATCCTGGTCTCCCATGGGGTGCAGGGCCCAAGCACTTGGGCCATCCTCCACTGCACTCCTGGGCCACAGCAGAGAGCTGGCCTGGAAGAGGGGCAACCAGGACAGAATCCGGTGCCCCGACCAGGACTAGAACCCGGTGTGCCGGTGCCGCCGGTGGAGGATTAGCCTATTGAGCCACGGCGCTGGCCCTTTTTCTCACTAAAATCAACACAACAAGCAGGAAAAAATTACTCTGGAGGGGGTCAATACACATTTATAATGCATGTGTAAATTTAAACAAAAATACTAAAACAACTCGAGAACCACAGCAGCTGCTGGAAAAGCCATAGTGCAACCACAGGCAGAGGACAGTGGCCCAAGGTTCTGCGCAGGCCCAGGCCCTGCGGAGATCTGCACTCCCTCAGGAAGTGTCTGGAAAGAGCGATCAGATAGATCTATATATGTAGACTTCCTTCGAAGAAAAACAGCAACAAGCAAACAAACTAAATGCACGCCCACTCTTCTGTACTAGCGCTCCCAGAATGCCGCAAACCAGGGTCCTGCTCTCGCCCACTTTTGGGACCCCGAGGCAGCAGGAGCTGTTCTGGGGAGACACAGTCTACCCTGTCACCACCTGAGGAGTCAGGGCCATCTCCTCCCCAGCCTGCCCTTCAGTCAAGACGTTCTCCAACGCCATGGAGATGGAGGCCTACCTGGTGTGTCTGGCATGTCCTCACACCTGCGAGGGGGCAGAGTTCAGGACAAAGCCACAAGAAGTTCTTGTTAGACTTTATAATCATCAGTCTAGACACTCTTGGAATTCTACAAAGAGGCTAAGGCTGTATTCATGACAGCACAGGAATTACCCCAATATAGTTCTTGTCCACAGATACATGAGCAGGCTATTCAAAGTTCATGAAAAATTCAATTACCTTTAATTCCATTTTTCCACGAGCTTTTGAAGCCCCTCACATAACGACTAGGGACAAGAAATAAACTCCTTGCTGCTCTGGAGTGACTCTCACAGGCAGACGTGGGCAGGAGTGACTCTCCCAGCAGCTCTGGGAAGGTAGGTTCTGTGGTCTGGGTGCTTGTTGGATGAGCTATATGCCGTAATCCTCTCAATAAAGGCCTGTTAGACATTTTCAAGGGCAAAATATGTACAGAATGCTACAAATAGAAACCTCAAATCTACTCTGAAAGATCAGAGAAAGAACAGACTCAAGGGAGCTAAAGACATAATTTCCCAGAAGAGGCCAAAGAGGAGTGGTTATTCCTCCTGTCTTCCCATCTGGAGCAGGCGTAGCTGCAAGGATCTGCAGTGACTGGGGACAGGCCCAGGGAACAGGAAGAGAGCAGAGCTCAACTCCTCAGGGGCCAGACTCCGTGCAGAAGTCGTCTCTAACGCAGGGTGAATCCTCCTTACACAAAAGAACCAAGATCACAAAGGCTGATGGGGAGCACTGGGATTCACAAGGGACGTCTCCCGTCCTCCACGGACTCCATGGAATTCTCCATTGTCTGTTTCTATCTAAAATTTTCATATTCTTTTAACTGATGGGGTAAATCCCATCTTTTTTTTTTTTTTTTTTTAAGTTTATTTTCACCTACTTGAAAGGCAGATGAGAGAGAGAGAGAGAGAATGAATCTTCATCCATCTGCTGGTTCACTCCCCCAAATACCTGCAAAAACAAAGGCTGTGCTAGGCTAACGCCAGGAGCCAGGAATTCCATCCAGGTCCCCATGTGGGTGGCAGGGGCCACTTTCTACTGTCTCTTAGGATGCAGTATCCAAAAACTGGGTCAGAAGTGGAGATGGTGGGACATGAACCAGCACTGCCATCTGGGATGCAGGCGTTTCAGGCAGCAGCTTAACCACTGCACCACATCCACTGCCCACCTTTCAAAATACACTATTCCCAGATTACAGATCTTCATGCACTTCTTTCTCATGTCGATTTCTAGACTTTGTAATTCCATTTCCTTTTTTTTTTTTTTTTTTGACAGGCAGAGTGGACAGTGACAAAGACCGACAGAGAGAAAGGTCTTCCTTTGCTGTTGGTTCACCCTCCAATGGCCACCGCGGCCGGCGCGCTGCGGCCGGCACACCGCGCTGATCCGATGGCAGGAACCAGGTGCTTATCCTGGTCTCCATGGGGTGCAGGACCCAAGCACTTGGGCCATCCTTCACTGCACTCCCTGGCCACAACAGAGAGCTGGCCTGGAAGAGGGGCAACCGGGACAGAATCCGGCGCCCCGACCAGGATTAGAATCCGGTATGCCGGCGCCTCAAGGCGGAGGATTAGCCTAGTGAGCTGTGGCGCCGGCTATAATTCCATTTCAACAATCCAAACATTTATTAAACTCTCACCAACCAGAAAAGAGACTAAGGTCAGAATAATTACTACTGGGGATGCATATACCTGTGTGCCCATACATGTAACAGCAGATGACAGAAGTGTTACGGAAAGAAAGACCCTCACAGAGCAGCAAGCGGCCTGATGCTTGCTGCCTTACACAGGGTGATTCTCTGCCTTGATCTTATCTTCCCGTCCTGCTGGGCTCTCACTTCGCAAGGACACCCTTCCTTCCAGCCACAGCCCTCACAGCCCCTGGAAGGCTGCCTCTTGAGGACCTTTACTAAAATGGGCCTGAATGGACCCTCATCAGGTGCTCAGGTGGGTACCGACCTTACCTATTTCCCAACTGAGGACGTAAGAGGAGTGAAGGCCCACCTCTCACTACCACAGAGGGAAGAGCTGGTTTGTGAACCCCCAGGTGCTGGGCTCAAGGTTTTCTGTTCATAGGCCTGGACTGTGAATCTGTGAATTTCACGGACAAGAACTGATTGCTGGTGTAGATGCTGGGTGCAGTGGTGAAAACAACCCACATCTCATACAGGAGAGCAAGGGCTCCAGTCCTGGCTCTGCTTCCAACTGCAGCCTCCTGTTACCACAGACCCTGGGAGGCAGCGGCTGACAGCTCAAGTACTTGAGTCCCTGCCATCTACGTGGGACACCCTGACTGAGTTCCTGATTCTCGGCATCAGCCTGACTCAGTCCCAGCTGCTGTGGGCACCAGAGGAGTGTACCAACAGATGGAAGATTTCTGTCTCTCTCTGACTCTCAAGGAAGGAAGGGAGGGAAGGAAATAACTGATGTTCTAGAATTCCTGTGGAGGCAACAGGATGCAACGCCAGAATCCTGGAGTACAAGCAGGGTTGCACCCCAGTGTTCTCCATTCTCACTACACACGCTCCACCAGACCTTTTCCTCTCATCTCAGGGATGTGACTACTGTTCACAAGGTGACAACTCCCAAATCTTTATCCCTCATTTTGAGGTCCAGATCCATACATCCAACTAGCCAGAAGCCTCTTAAACTTAACAAGTACCAGTGGAAGCTCTGATCTGCGTACCCCCTGCCATTCCATGACACCTGCTCCTCTCCCAGTCTCACTCCATGCAGGAGGTAAAGGCTAAAGACCCAAGATTCACTAATGCATCGCTCTAATTCAGACTAGGCGAAACAACCAGGGTAATATTCACAAACACAAACTGCCTGCCTTGAGCCCCTGCTCCCTTCTATGGGATCCCATAACTCAGGCTGAAAAGCAGTCCCAGATCAGTCCTCAGTGGCCTGGACCCCCACCTCACACCCTCACTGCACACCACCCACTGTGATCTGGCCACACTGTTACGTGATGTGTGGCCACTCACCAAGTTGTTTTCTATAGCTTAAAAGGCTTTCCTTACCTTCCTCCAACTCCTACGCACCCTTCAAGACCCAGATCAATTGTCACTTTCGGAAAGCATTTCTTGAACTTCCCCCGCTTAACTGAACTTAAAAAAAAGTACGATATTTGAAAAATACGAAAGAGCACAGTTAATACATACTCCTGTTACTCTGTTCAGATCGCTCTAATAACACACCCTGCACTCTATCTGTCCATCCTTACTCAACTATGAGGTCCTGGGAACTGAAAGCCAATGTGGCAACCACACATGGTAGGGCTTACCGCCCACAACCAGTGTGAGTTTTTGGAATTAATTTCTGGTACTAACTCTATCACCCACTTGCTACCTGATCTGGACAATTCACTGACCTACTCTGTGGCTATTCCCTGGTCTGTAAGATGGGGACAACTGCCCCTCTTCCTGTACCGCAACCACGTGTCAAAGCACTCTGGGCCTCTACATCTCAGGCCAGTGCAAGCACACCTGCTGACGCTTCAACCACCACTCCTGGCTCTCTACAAAGCCAACTCTGGTGCCCACTGTTTGCTCTGACACCGACTCAACTCTGAGGACAATACGTCTCTGAGGACAATGGCAAGGGCATTTCTTCACAGTGAGGGGCAACCGACTTCAGCCTGAATCTATGAATGTCAACCTGGCATTGAACCACACACATTTTGAATAGCCAGCTTTTCAAATAAAATGTACAAAGAGACTAAGGTAACTCAGGTGGAAGTATGAGGAGGAGCTGCTTTCTAGCCTACAAGTCCCAGGCACACAGGCAGGATGGGTCTGGTGACGCAACCTGAGGGGCCTCATGGTCTGCGTGCCTCTACCCTCCCCCACCAAGACACAAACTCTTTTCGTTGTGTAAGGGCATCTGTGCCATCCTCTCCAGGAGCTCCCTGCACAGCTGGCTCACTGACAGCCTTGCACGTGGTTCCTACCCCTCCTCCTCCAACCACACTCTCCTCCACCTAAACACAAAACTCCACGTGGACTTCAAATCCACAATTTCTGTAAACAGTGCAGAGAAGGCCGTTTGTCTCCACCAACACTTAAAAAGGAAGGAAATCACGCACTTACTTAGAAACCACTTCTTTGGGTGATACTAAGTAAAAATCTAGGTAAACAGTATTTTCTGTTTAAGATTTTCTTTTAGTGGAAAACGGGATTAAATACTTTTTCCCTATAATCTGTCAGTCCAGACAGCAAGTTCTGTTTCCAGGCAGCCCAGATGAAACTAGAAAGGATGGCAGGGTTCAGAAGACTCCATCAAACGCAACGTCAGTGCCAAACAGGAGCACCTTGGATGAACGCTGGAGACCAAATACCACCATGACTGCAAAAATCAGTCTTAACTGAGTTTGACAAGTTTGATATTCTTCCCCAAAAAAGGTTGTTTCTTAAAAACCAGACTCTACGATGTGCTTCTGTTCTACCTTAATGACGTTAAAGCCATGCAACAGTTCAAAACCACTGTTCTTTCTGAACGGGGTCTCATAGAACCCGACCCATGCATATGAGGGCCGAAGTCACAGGAGAGACTAGAATCCAGGGCTTCTCATTCAGGAAACCCGCTTTATCCTTCCCAATCGCAGGGAAGTTGTACTGAGAGAGGAGGAGGAACATCAAATATGTGATGGCGACAGCTGGGGAGAAAAGCCGCTCCAATCACTGTTGCAAATACTAATCCCTTTGGCAAATTCTGTCTGGCGCGTTTAAGTTCTGACATGTTCCTGAACTGATGGCTATCTCAGGTTCCTTCCAGAATGAAACCGAAGAAACTGGAAACCTCAACACATACTACAGCTGGCAAAATCTATGTCATGTGATCCAGTTTTAAGTGCCAGGATTTCTAACTATGCCCAAGGTGATTTTACAGTGAATATTTCCCAGAGTTAGAGAACTGCTGCTTAGTCAAACGCCTGTCGAACCGCGCGTGCGCAACCACAAGAAAGCTTCAGCTGCAACCGCAGCAGCCTATAGAAATTGTCAGATTCTTAGTCTGCACGGAATTATTCTGGTGACGTGAACACTGGGAATTCTATAGTTTTAATTAAATTACGAGTATCAAGTTATAATCATTTCTACCTGTTACAGAAGGGTTTTAAATCCCCAGTATGGATACCTGCACACACTCCATAAAAATGCATGGAACAGTCACCCCAAGGGAGAACAGGCAGAGGTCACTACTAATCCACCACATTGAAACTGGGGCTAACACTACACAGGACAGCCGAGCAAATGAAACATGGGCTTAGCTTGAAGCACAAAACGAGGTCCACTATCCTTGGTAAGAATGTATAAATTCTTAAAGGGATTCTTTAACAGCTGAGACAGGGTGCTACTTACTTCCTCATTAAATAGTTTGCTAGTTTCTTTTTTGATTGGGTCTATAAGCTGGACTTGGCCTGCGGAAAAGCCCACTAGGAGAGAGACACTTTCTGCTGTGGCTGTGAGGTGGTTGAAGTCATGACAAGTAGGCTGTGTTCCTTTGTATATCCTTTTATCTATTGGTTTACTCAAGTCAGCAGCCTGGAGGAGAAAGAGAAAAATACATACGGTAAACAGTACATTGACATAGGAGAAATCTAAGTTATACTATTTTATACTCCATTATGATGTTCAATCTTAAAAACAATGTTATTAAAAAAATTTCAGTTATGACTTAACATTTGTCTCACATATTACAAAAACACTTTCACATACCTTAGCCAATTAGATGTTGCTATACTATGTTTATAACTGTTAAAAATCACAGCTTATCTCCTGTGACAAAGACTTCTGGTTTTAGGGGTGGGGGAATCTCAGATACTACATTCGGTGTTTTCAGGATGCATTCCAAGCACTTTCCTAACAGAGGAACTCTACACGGAACAGGTCCGCTCTCAGACACGGCTGTGACACCTACACGCCCACGGGTGAGCTACCTGCAGCCCAGTGTTCTAGTGTGGCCGCCAGACCAGCAGCAGCAGAGCAGCACCACCTGGAGACTTGGGAAGCAGATTCTCAAGCCGCACCACAGACCCTGTGTCTCAGAAACTATGGGCTGGGCCCAACAAGCTGCAGTTTAAAAGCCTTCCAGGTGAGTCTGACGACCACTGCTGGGCCAACCGTACACAGGCGGTTCCCTCTCCGGGCCACAATCCCTCTTCTGTGTTAGCTTTCAGGGAACTTCCACTTACTGAGCCTACACTCAAGTGCTTTGCACGCACATTTAATCTTCACAGTAATCTGTCAGTGCAGACAGTATTTCCCCCAATTTACCAGTGAGCAAATACATTTGGAGAAGTTAACTTGGCCACTGTCGGCAATACCTATTTAGTAACTGGCATTTGAAACCCAGTTCTGTTTGCCCATAAAGGGAATGGGGAGAAACACATACCCGCACACCCCAAAGTCAAAAGTAAGTAATTTCTGACTTGGGTTAAAAATAATCTGGGGGGATGGGCACTTGGCGCAGCAGTTACCTTGCTGTTGGGATACCTGCATCCTGTACTGAAGTACTGGGTTTGAGTCCTGGCTCCACACCTGACCCCCACTTCCTGCGAATGAACACCCTGAGGGGAGCAGGTGATGGCTCAAGTGCTTGGGCCCCTGCCACCCACATGGGAGACTCGAATGAAGCTCCTGGTTCTGGCTTTGGCCTGGCCCAGCTCTAGCTGTTGTGGTCATTTTGAGAGTGAACCAATGGATGGAAGATTCTCTCTCTCTCTGCCCCCTCCCCTCCATCCATGTCTCTTTCTCTGTTGCTCTGCCTTTCAAATAAATAAATCCTTTAAAATGAGTAAATAAAAAATAAAAAAACACATGGCTCTGCAACTTAAAAAATAAAAATTATTTTCAACATGTCCCCTCCTTTGAGTAAGAAAGATTCCCTTCCTCATGACTAATGAACATTTTGGGCTGCTACTGTTAAGTAAGGGGAACCCACCCCCTCCTGCTTGCGTGTGAAGACCACGCGTGGAGACAGTTCCCATCAGTGATTATGCCAAGACATCCTCTCTGCCCTGGGTGCCACGGTGGGGTTCACCCTCTAGTTCTCTATGACCACCCCTCCATGAAGTTCTGAAGATTTCTTTCTTCCAAAGAGGCCTGTGACATTAGGCCAAGTGTTCTAATAGTTGATTTTCAAACAAATATACATACTGAGTAGAAGAAAGGACCTCAAGATTACAAGCATCTCTGAGCAAACTCAAGCCCGGAGCACTTGGCCCAGGGCACAGGAATGAGGTTACACGCCATGCGGACACTCTCCCAGCCTCACCTCAGTCAAAATGGAGATGAGAATCTCTGTTCTACCAACCTCATGGGATTGTCTGGAGGATGAAATAAGAGAATATATACATGAAAGAGCCGTGAAAAGTGTAATATAAAGTATGACACAAAACAAAGGGGCGTCCTGACTTTGGGCCTGGGCAGGGTGAAGGCTGAAGCAGAGGAGCCATGAACCATGCACAGGCTGCCCGCGGCAGTGGCTCCTCCTTGAGCGTAAGGCAGGGAGAGGGGATTCTAGGCTAGCTGAACAACATAAGCAAGACATCTCAGAACAAAGAAGATACCAGGTCATGTAAAAAGGAGCTAAAAACATAAAATACGATACAACTGGCAGCTAGAGCATAAAAATCCAATTTGAAATATGAACGATTAGGCCAATGCCACAGCTCACTAGGCTAATCCTCCGCCTGCGGTGCCGGCACCCCGGGTTCTAGTCCCGGTCGGGGCACTGGTTCTGTCCCGGTTGCTCCTCTTCCAGTCCAGCTCTCTGCTGTGGCCCGGGAGGGCAGCGGAGGATGGCCCAAGTGCTTGGGCCCTGCACCTGCATGGGAGACCAGGAGAAGCACCTGGCTCTTGGCTTGGATTGGTACTGCGCGCCGGCTGTAGCAGCCATTTGGGAGGTGAACCAACGGAAGGAAGACCTTTCTCTCTCTCTCTCTCACTGTCTAACTCTGCCTGTCAAAAAAAAAAAAAAAAAAAGAATATGAACAATTGGTTATGTGATCACTGTACAACTCTTGAGACTTTTTAAAAACAAGTTTGTTTATAGGAATTTTCTACTAAAGAATGTTCCTAAACTTATGCCCTGAATTATAAAAATCAATTCAAAAGCTAACTAGAAAATTTTAAAGAACATTTCAATGCAAATTAAATAAACAAAAAATATACACTATAGAGAAATAAACACCTGGGTTTTTTTCAAGCATTGCTAACATTTTGAGTTAAATGTTCAGATCCTTACAACAGCTACATTAGCCTGACTCCTTGGTATCTTATTTTACATCCTTGACCCCAACATGGAACATGCCTGAAGAGATGTTGTGTTCTTTTTTTTTTTTTTTTTTGAAGATTTATTTATTTATTTGAAAGGCAGAGTTACAGAGAGGCAGAGGCAGAGAGAAAGAAAGGTCTTCCACCCACTGGTTCATTTTCTAAATGGCTGCGGCAGCAGGAGCTGGGCCCATCCAAAGCCAGGAGCTGGAGCTTCCTCCTGGTCTTCCACGCAGGTGCAGGGGCCCAAGGACTTGGGCCATCTTCTACTGCTTTCCCAGGCCATAGCAGAGAGCTGGATCAGAAGTGGAGCAGCCAGAACTCAAACTGGTACCCAAATGGGATGCCAGCACTGCAGGCAGTGGCATTACCTACCATGCCACAGTGCCTGGCCCCAAGATGTCAAGTATTTTAAATGACAATTGGAATATTATTTTTACCCTTAAACTGGGTAAACATTCCAAAAAATCCTCCTTACTAATTTGCTTAGCAAACTTTCTCCCCAGATCCCTGCTCTCCCAGTGTACCAGGCCATGAGCAGTTTGCAAGCTGCAAACATGCTTGTGTGTAGGACAGAAATTGAGAATAAGAATTTAGGAACTTTTATAGCAATGAAAAATTCTAAATCTATTGAACCTAATAATAACAAAGTTAAGAGTTTGTGTTTTTTTTTTTTTTTTCAGTTTCCCTTATTAGTAATCCTTTCTTATATTCCAAAAGCAAATCCAAACAGAGTAGAAATTTTAAAATACTGGTTCTTCAACACAACTATGAGTAGCACTGTCTTAGAAGACACAAAAGCACACCTGGGGGCCAGTGTTGTGGTTTAGTGAGTTAAACGGTTACCTGCAGTGCCAGCACCCTATATGGTACCAGTTCAAATCCCAGCTGCTCCACTTCTGATCCAGCTCCTTGTTAACATGCCTGAGAGAGCAGATGAGGATGGCCCAAGTCCTTGGGCCACTGTATCCATGTAGGAGACCTGGATGAAGCTCTTGGCTTTGGCGTGGCCCAGACTTTGGCTATGGCAGCCATCTGGGGAGTGAACCAGCCAATGGAAGATCTCTCCCTCTCTGGTTTTTTTTTTTGGACAGGCAGAGTTAGACAGTGAGAAAGAGAGAGAGAGAGAGAGAGAGAAAGGTCTTCCTTTTTCCATTGGTTCACCCCACAAATGGCCGCTACTGCCGGCGCGCTGCTCCGATCCGAAACCAGGAGCCAGATGCTTCTCCTGGTCTCCCGTGGGGTGCAGGGTCCAAGCACTTGGGCCATCCTCCATTGCCTTCCCGGGCCACTGCAGAGAGCTGGACTGGAAGAGGAGCAACCGGGACTAGAACCCGGGGTGCCGGCACCGCAGGTGGAGGATTAGCCAAGTGAGCCACGGCACCGGCCCTCCCTCTCTGTTCGTTCCCCTCTCTTTGTAATTCTACCTTTCAAATAAATAAATAAATAAACCTTAAAAAATAATAAGAGAAGCTGACATGGCCCAAAGATCAGTTAGGTTCCCTCCTAGCAATCCTCCCTCCCCAGTCCTACCACGGCCCTGAACACACCCAGAAGCACAGAAATCCAGCCAGGCAACACATCACCTCCATCAGGTGAGGCTAACTGAGAGGCCTGAGGTGACCGTGAGGGCCACATCCATAAAAACTGTATTTTCAAAAACCCACGGACACCACCAGCCGTGCCTGAGCTTCTGGGGTCCCACCAGTCCCACACAGAGAAAAGTCAGGCTTTCCTTTCAACCAGAATCATCCTTTCTCACTCCTTTGGTCCTCTTTCCTCTACAGCCCATCACTAAGTTCCTCCTCCATGCACTGATGGCAGACGAGACTGCCAACATGTAGTCTGAGTTCACACAACTCTCTAGTAGCATTTCCAACTATGTGCCCCATGGAGGCAGATGGCTCCCAGTTAAGAGAAAGTCTGGTGGACGGAGAAGGAGCCCAGACTCTGGGTCCAGGCAAACACAGGTTCAAAACCTGCCTTCCCTCTAGGTACCCAGGTGGGCTTGGGCAAGGGGCTTTTTCCTCACTGTGCTTCAGGGAATAGTCTCTCACCCCCCTCCCCGGCAGAGCACTGGTGAGGGCTGCAGATGATGGATGGAAAGCACAGTGCGTACAGAGTTACACAAATGGCAGCTATGGTTATTAATTTATTCTAGTCACAGCCAACCTCTGATCCAAATGCTTCTGTGGCTTCCTAATTTGCAGCATATCAACCAAAGTATCAAGGAGGACCTAGTCTCCCAGCTCTCCACAGCGCTGTCCATCCTCCCCAGCGGCAATACCAACTTCAGTCTATTTAACACTTCCTGTGCACCTGGCCTACCCCAGGAACTTGACAATCATCACCCCACTTCATCTCATCCTTCCAAGTAGATACATCTTAACCACATTTCACAGATGAGGACAACCGGAAGGAGTCCAGGTCAGGAGCCTGCTCTCCCCCACCCCGCTCCCTCCGCACCACGCAGCCTCGCCTTGGTCCAGGCACACTGTCCTTTTTTCTTCACTGCGTCACTCTCTAGGCCGGGGGATCTCTGTCTCCTTTCTGAGTAATCTCACCCATACATTCAAGCCCCACAACCTCCAGCAAGTATTTTCCCAACTGCCATTCTTTGTGCTGGCTCCTTTATCTCGACTGTCAAGCATGGCACTCATTCTACAATGTTTAGTACTTAATCACTTACATGATTTTAGAGTTGTTTTATGTCCATTATCAGCAATTAATAGTAAAGTAACAACAAAAAGTCCTTTAAGCAGAAGTTTTTGTTAACCGGTTATCACTGTACTGTTCTACAAAATTAGCTTTTTCTCTTCAGCTTTCTAGTGGATTTTGCATACTTTGGAATTTTAAAAATGCTTTGTATCCTACTAATTGCCAATTATATAATCTTAAACAATATATTTTATTTATTTATTTGAGAGGCAGAGAGACAGCATGCTCCTAACTGCTGTTACACTCCCCCAGTCCCACAGTGGCTGGGGCTGGGATGGGCCATGCAGAAGTCCAGAGCCAGGAAATCAATCCAAGACTTTTTTTTTTTTTTTTTTTTGGATAGGCAGAGTGGACAGTGAGAGAGAGACAGAGAGAAAGGTCTTCCTTTTGCTGTTGGTTCACCCTCCAATGGCCGCCGCGGCCAGCGCACCGCGCTGATCGGAAGGCAGGAGCCAGGTGTTTATCCTGGTCTCCCATGGGGTGCAGGGCCCAAGCACTTGGGCCATCCTCCACTGTACTCCCAGGCCACAGTAGAGAGCTGGCCTGGAAGAGGGGCAACCGGGACAGAATCCGGCGCCCCGACCGGGATTAGAATCCAGTGTGCCGGCGCTGCAAGGCGGAGGATTAGCCTATTGAGCCTCGGTGCCAGCCAAATCCAAGACTTCTACGTGATCCAAGACTTCTACATGGGTGGCAGTGGCAGTGGCAGGAACCCAATTACTTTAGCCATCACCACTGCCTCCCAAGGTACCCACTGGCAAGAAGCTGGAGTCAGGAATAGAACCCAGGCTCTCTAGGGCTGTGGGTATCTTAACCACCAAGTCAAACTCCTATCCTTAAACATGAATTTATGGCAAAATCAACTAATTAAAAATCTTACCAATTTTTAACAATTAGATTACATGTGGTTTCCAGCCTCAGCAGAGTATCCAGCATGTCACAGGTGCTCAATATTAGTTGAATGAAGCAAACCATGGCTGTTCCTGAGGTTTGTCACTGGCAAGATCCACTTTTATCATTATGGTCATGAGTTTATAGGTAAGGAGTCACTGATTACAAAAACTTGCCAGTGGTTCATCCTGCTTATTAGGTTCTCAATTTAATAGAAAAAGTTAAACGATGGTTTAGAAAGCTGTATAACACAAACAGAACTGGTTCGCAAAGCCTCAATCAATAAGTAAACATTTTTAAATGTCATGCTTTATTTTTCTTGGATTTCTGACCTTAAAATCCCTAAAATTCTCATGATGAACGCTGTTAAAACAGGGAGTTAGCGAGGTTGGTTTAGCGTGGCACTGATAGGACTCTAGGTCTTGATCTTTCCAGCACCACACAATCTGCCAAAGAAACCCTCCAGCTCACACGCCCTCACCCCCAGCTTCACCTGCGGACCCTGCCCCACAGGAATGCAGAGGAAGAGCGTGAGATGAGAGGGCAGTCCCGCTCCCAAGGTTCAGTGGCAACAGCCATGCCATATCACATGGGCCTGTGCCAAGCTCTCTTTGTTGGGAGCCTGCTACCTGATACTCCTGAATGCCCAGAAGCATCTGTGGAATGAAAAATATTTCAAGCCTATTTTGAAACATAAATGTCAAATCATGATTTTAGACAAGATTTTAAATAAATGTACTAGGGGGAGTGGTGGACTTTATGTTCACCTTCCCCATGCCATAAACCCCATCTGAGCAACACTGCAGACAAAAAAGAGTAAAACGTCCTTTTGCTGGCATACTCAACAGCTGCTGGAGCTCATCTCTCTACACCTGAAATCACTCTCACGACCCTCCGGAGTCCACTACCCCATATTCAGCACCCCAGTCCTTGCCCCACCTTTACTCCTGTCCATTCAGGTCCCCCTTAAATGGTACCCCCTGCCCGGATCTGGACTGACCTCCCCCCTAGTTGGAGCCCAGTCTAGCTCAGCCTCCCTGACCTTGCACCAGTCTCCTTCCACCCATTTCTACCCACGCCCAAGTCATCCCACACGTGCTGCCAGATTCATCATCAGGAAGCCACTGGTCTGTGAGGCAAGCAGCTCAACGCTCAGGATTCGTTCCCAGTGTGGGCTCACACTGCTGCCCCTCACACAGGCTCCCTCCACAGGAGCCTGGCTGCCACCTTTGCCAACACACACTGTGCATGGCCTTTCCTTGCAGTCTTCTCTTTGCCTATCAAACTGTCCAACCCCCAACATCCACACATCTGCTCACCACAGCACAAACGTCACTCCCCTGCCCAACCCACCCATCTATGAGCGATAGTCTTCCACTCGCACTTCACTGAGTGTCTGCCACAGCCACGTGAATTAGCTGGAATATGGTAACTATCTTCCATACATTGTCCAAGTTTAGCTCCTTTTTAAAACCAAGAACCAAGTCAGGAGCTGCTGAGTCACCAACAGCCCGAACAGATTACTCAAAAATAGGTGGAGCAGTACTGGTGGCATCAAAGGTCGCCCAGATGCCGTTCTGAAAATCAGCAGAGAACTGAAGCAGCTCCCCACTATCACTCCTCCTGAACACATCTCAGACAACCACAACAGGAGTGACCAAGGGACTACTTCCCAGGCCACAAAGGATCACTTATCTGAAAAGAAAAGGAACAAAGGGGGCCTACGTTTAAACTGGACATTCTAGGGTGGAGGTTTAGCCTAGTGGTTAAGGTGCCCACACCCCATACAGAATCTGGGTTCAAGTCCTTACTCTATTTCCTGCTAATGTGACCCTGGGAGGCAGCAATAAAGGACCAAGTATTTGTGTCCTTGCCATCCATGTAACAGACCCAGACAGAGTTCCTGGCTCCCCGCTTCAGCCTGGCCCAGTGCTACCATTTGGGATGTCATCAGTGAAAGGCTGATCTCTCACTGTCTCTACCTTTCAAACAAACAAAACTTGAGATACAAAATAAACTACATTACCAAGATTGTTTCAAAGTTTATCTTGAGGGAAACTTTTAACCCAGGCAGGCTTGGGGCTTCCAGTGCCAGTTAGGGATTAGTTCACACCCATGGCCTGGGGCTGTACCACACCTGTTGAAAACAAGGAAACCCTGTGCCTTCCAAGCAAAAGGCATGAATGATATGGAACACTGACCTCTCAGAACCAAGACAGATTTGTTTGTTGAACAAAGCTCAATGTACAATTTAACCAAAATTTTCTTCAACATAGTAAGAAATAACTAGGTCCAATGACAAAAGACCACAAGGTGGTTTTCAAACATCTTCACTGCCCACACTTGACAGGCAGCAAACAGTTCATGCCAGAAACAACAAGCTGGACAGCATTGCACAGATGCTGATTCTGCAGCCCAACCTGCCTGCTCCTGAAGGAGAAACACCCGCACGTCCTCCTCCTCCAAAACAGCCACACGGCTGTCATGAACGGTAGGCAAAGAGCCCAAGGCTTGTTCTGTGATGGCAGAACCTGGTCAGGCAAGGAATCACTTAGCCCAACAGTAACAACCTGTCAGCCAATTGTACAGTTCCAACGTTTCAAGGACAGGAACTTCTTTGCATGCTTTGCCACTCTCCGTGCGACGGCTCAGCCCAGGTATCCTTGAATACCTGCCTTAGGACACCATGCAAAAATGGGGGTGGGGCGTAGGGGGTAACAGAAACCAAAAAAGACCTGCAGCCAAATACAAAATCAAATCTATCGTTCTTTGGCTGCACACAATCCTAACCAACAACTAACTGCCTTCTTGGATGCTTGTATGTGAAAGAAAACATCACGCCCCAGCAAATACTGGCATGTCACTTTACAGCTTACAAAGCACCTTTGCGCTTCAGTTCTTTCAGCCTCCACAATAAACCTGTGCTGTCAGTCTTACTGCCACTCTCACTTTATATACAGGAAACAGACATGCTGTCAAGAGGAACCAAGCAGTAGTCTGCCATCTTAATCCCAACGCGGGGCTCGCTCTTTTGCACTATCAGGGGAAGCTCACGAGATGGCATCTGAGGCAGCACCTGGATCTAAAATTCTACCACTGTGGACTCCATGTTCCTGTGCTTACTGAAGTGGGAGTAAGACAGTCCAGCCCTGCTCAGCTGGGCCCAGATTCCAGATCTACCTTCTCAATGAACACATCTCACTTGACTGTTCCATTAAATTAGAGCACTAGAGGAGTGATTGGTGCAATCGTTTAGGAGGCTACCTGTGCTGCCCACATTCGTATCTGAGTGCCTAGGTTCAAGTCCCCACTCCATGTCTGATCCAGCTTCCTACTAATGTGCACCCTGGGAGGGGGCAGATGATGGCTCAAGTACCTGGGGCCCTACACTCATGTGGGAGACCAGGATGGGGTTCTGGGATCCTGGCTCTGGCCTGACCCAGCCCTGGCTATTGGAACTGTCTGAGGAGTTAACAAGTAGATGAAGGATCCTTCTCTGTCTGTTTTTCAAATATAGTGAAAATAAGCAAATAATTTGAACAAAATAAAATATGCCAACATATGTAAAGTCGCCAGCATAATGTCTGGCACTTGAGAAAAGTTAGTTCCTCTTCTGAACACAGAAGGACTTGATGCTTATCTTACAGGCTTTGAAAATTCTCATTCATTAATACCTTCAAAGAAACATAAATGAAGACAATCAGGAATATTTTTTCTGCCCTGAATTTCCTGGAGAAAGACAACAGCAGAAGTCAAGTTTCAGCATGTTTTCCTTCCAACATAATTTTCCAAAACAAACAGTAATTTCCTTGCCTTAGTTTCCATGTTTCCTCCATTCTCACAAATACACACTTTTGTAGGCACAGCCCACACTTGTCTGGCAACACAGACCGCATCCCCTTTACTAAGCCCACAGAACTGGGGTCACCTGCTGGCTCTCTCCAATGGCCTCTCACCCTGGAATGAGCGCCTTCCACCCACGTTTCAGAGTGCCTCTGGCATGCACAGTAGCAGAGGCGGAGCAGAGAACTACACGGAGGAGACGACAGGACAGCGCGTCACCACCGGCCTTTCAGAACAGGGGCAAATACTGCGATGCAAGACGTGTGGAGGGTTACCTTTATGTCCCCTGCAAGTGGGAAAGGGGCACAGCCACAAACCGGTACAAGGTGCAATGCTGAAGCTTGGCTTCTCAGAGGCCCACACCAGCGCCTTCCTCCACAACTGCTTTGACCGTGAGTGGCTGCGCGGGGAGGCCGACGTGATGCAACAGCATCTTCTCCCTTGGCCCAGCACTGTTGGTCAAGGCATCCACTACAACTAACAAGCTCCTGTTGCTAGCACATGTCATTTTTTCTCAAGGCAGCCTGTCACTTAGAAATCGTTAGCTATGTCAAGTCTGCTACTCCTCCCTCAGAGCAGGTTTCAGGAATGTACTCGGCAAGCTGCTGACCCTGCTCAGGACAGCTCAGCTTCACAAGGCGAGGCACCAGGCTGTCACGGAGCTTCACTCAGGCTAATGAAATACTGATTTCTTCATTAAGAAGAACTATGAATAAACATTAGGTAAATTCAATTTGCACACATCCTAACACCAGACCTCATCACATTAAAATGCTGACATATTCAAATGACCTATTTTTTATTAAACTCCTCTGTTAAATATGCATAGAAATATGCATTCCTATTCCAAAGGGAATACCAACATCTCAAATGGAGAAAAAGGAAAGATGCTTTCCATTCTGCAAAAGACACTCCCTGCAAATTCTTAGAAAATAATTTTTAAAGTTCCTACTGAAAACAGCAGGGGAAGGGAAATTCCATGTCCTCCTGAGAGTGCGAGACAACGCTGGTAAAGACCGCTACAGAGCAGGGGCGGCTCCTATAGCTGCCTATCACTACACTGTGGTTCTCTGCCCTGTGAACAATCTGTGGACTTATTATATTTGGCAGGGCACGTAAATGATTCTTAGATTTTCCTATTCAAGTTGCTGAGTAACAGAAGCAGTAATCTGCAGAGCAGCTCTCATTCTAAGTGAAAAATGTGCCAAATCCACACCAGGCTTCAACCTTCCAACATTCTTCACCCTACACAGAAAGCAAGGCTCAGGAAGATCTGGGGATGTGCTCAAGGAACGCACTTCCAACCACATCAAGTTGTCACTTTCTTTTCAATCATCCAACTCCAGTTGAAATAATGAACTACTGAATGTTAACATGAAATTTCAAATGACCCAGTATACTGCTGTGTTTTCAAACAGGAAGAAGAAAGCTAGTGTCAGAGAATATTAAACGTATCTTACACATTAATGGAGATCAGCTACTAAAACAAGTGGCCAAAATCTGGCCTCTGTAACTCCCTCTCTAATCCAGCCAGGCATCAGCTGAAGGAAGCAGCTCAAATCAAAGAGGACCACAAGGGTCTGATGATTCTAAAGACTGCTGTGAGGAGAAGCCTAGCTCTCCCCTAGGCACTTGCACTCATGGATATTTGTCACATAAATCGATCTCACCAACTAGTCTAAATTTTTTAGGGCATAAATCTTCTAAGCCACCTCAGAAACAGGCACACAAACAGGTCTGATTTTTTTTTTCCAGATTAGCAAAAGCCTGTTTTAGACACTTTAGTTATCAGGCCCTGGCAGATCTCTAGTAACCAAATAGGAAGCAGCTGCAAAATGCGGACTGGGAAGGCCGCACCTGTGACTGCCTGGCTGTCACGGGGTAACAAGAACAGTCTTCGGCCGGCGCCGCGGCTCACTAGGCTAATCCTCCGCTTGCGGCGCCAGCACACTGGGTTCTAGTCCCGGTCAGGGCGCCGGATTCTGTCCCGGTTGCCCCTCTTCCAGGCCAGCTCTCTGCTGTGACCCAGGAGTGCACTGGAGGGCCCAAGTGCTTGGGCCCTGCACCCCATGGGAGACCAGGAGAGGCACCTGGCTCCTGGCTTCGGATCAGTGCGGTGCGCCGGCCGCAGCGGCCATTGGAGGGTGAACCAACGGCAAAGGAAGACCTTTCTCTGTCTCTCTCGCCCTTCAGAAAGGGCAATTTGGCAACACACAGCAATACTTTTTTTTTTTTTTTAGTTTTTAAAATTAGTTTCAATTATATTTTAATTCTTACCAATCATACTGTTTTACTTTCTTTCAAACATTTATTTATTTATTTGAAAGGCAGAGTTACAGAGAGAGAGAGAGAGAGAGAGAGAGAGAGAGAGTCTTCCATCTGCTGGTTCACTCTCCAGATGGCTGCAACAGCCAGAGCTAAGACGATCCGAAGCCAGGAGCCAGGAGCTTCTACCAGGTCTCCCATGTGAGTGCAGGCGCCCAAGGACTTGGGCCATCTTCTGCTGCTTTCCCAGGCAGAGAGCTGGATTGGAAATGGAGCAGCCAGAACTTGAACTGGTACCCATTTGGGATGCCGGCACTGTAGGCAGTGGCTTTAACTGCTACACCATGGCATCAGCTCCTTAATTTATTTTCTTTAAGATTTATTTGAAGGCTGGGCCAGGGCTCACTAGGCTAATCCTCAGCCTATGGCACCGGCACCCCAGGTTCCAGTCCCAGTTGGGGCACTGGATTCTGTCCCGGTTGCTCCTCTTCCAGTCCAGCTCTCTGCTGTGGCCCAGGAAGACAGGGGAGGATGCCCAAGTGCTTGGGCCCTGCATCCGCATGGGAGACCAGGAGGAAGCACCTGGCTCCTGGCTTCAGATTGGTGCAGTGCACCAGCCGTAGCAGCCATTTGGGGGGTGAACCAATGGAAGGAAGACCTTTCTCTCTGTCTCTCTGTCTCTCTCTCACTAACTCTGTCAAAAAAAAAAAAAAAAAAAAAAAGAAGAAGAAGAAGATTTGAAAGGCAGAGAGAGACAGAGAAAAATATCTTTCATCCGCAAATGGCTGCAAAGGCTGGAGTTGGGCTGATCTGAAGCCAGGAGCCAAGAGCTTTTCCTGGGTCTCCCACGTGAATGCAGGCTCTCAAGGACTTGGGCCACCTTCCACTGCTTTCCCAGGCGCATTAGCAGGGAGCTGGATCAGAAATGGAGCACCAGGGTCTCGAATCATATGGAATATGGAATATTTTCCAAGTGTGTAAACTATTGTAATAGCCAAACTAGCCCAACCCAAATGTTTTCCTACAAGAGGTAAGATAAACAATAGGTCATACACATAACACTACTCATGGAATGCATGCACTGGAAAAACATGGGTGAACATCCAACACTAATCTTGAGTGAAAGAAGTCACATACAAAAGAAATATATGCTAAGTAATCCTATTTATATGAAGTTCAAAAATAACAACAACTAACTTGTGATGTTGTAAGTGAAGTCAATGGTTACTCTTGTAGGGCGAGGGGAATGGGCCACAGGGGAGGTTTCTGGAGTGGTCAGGAATGTTGCTCCTGGCTCTGTGGTTGACCCAGATCTACACTTAAATTTTAGTGGTATGCTTTCAAAATTAGTTAGCAAAAATATACACAAAATAATCAACATTTATATTCTATATATTTAAAAAAAAACCAAAATATTATGTGGCCATTTAAGATGAAGATGTTTACAAGTACAAAAATGTTATTTTATTAAGTGAAAAAATATAAAATAATAAATAGGATTCTAGGGGCAGACCTTGAGGTGTGGGGGATTGAACTGCCTTTTAGGATGTCTACATCCTGTATCAGAGTGCCAGAACAAGTCCCAGCTACACTGCTTCTGATCCAGCTCCCTGTAAATGTACTTGGAAAGGAAGTGGATGATGGCCTAAGTACTTGGGTCCTTGCCACTTACATGGAAGACCAAGACGGAGTTCTGAGCTACTGTCTTGGCCCAGCTCCGGCTAATGTGGCCATCTGAGGAATAAACAAGTGGATAGAAGGGTGTGTGTGTGTGTGTCCCTCTCTCTGTCACTCTGCCTTTCAAATAAATAATTAAAAAAAAAAAAAAAAAAGGAATTCTGGCCGGCGCCGCGGCTCACTAGGCTAATCCTCCGCCTGTGGCACCGGCACCCCGGGGTTCTAGTCCGGGTCAGGGCACCAGATTCTGTCCCGGTTGCCCCTCTTCCAGGCCAGCTCTCTGCTGTGGCCAGGGAGTGCAGTGGAGGATGGCCCAAGTGCTTGGGCCCTGCACCCCATGGGAGACCAGGAGAAGCACCTGGCTCCTGGCTTTGGATCAGCGCGGTGCGCCGGCCGCGGCAGCCATTGGAGGGTGAACCAATGGCAAAGGAAGACCTTTCTCTCTGTCTCTCCAGCCGTTGTGGCCAACTGGTGAGTGAACCATCGGATGGAAGACCTACCTCTCTCTTTCTCTGCCTTTTCTCTCTCTGTGTAACCCTTCCTTCCTTCCTTTTTCTTTCTTTCTGACAGGCAGAGTGGATAGTGAGAGAGAGACAGAGAAAGGTCTTCCTTTTGCCGTTGGTTCACCCTCCAATGGCCGCCATGGCCAGCGCACTGTGGCCGGCGCACCGCGCTAATCCGAAGCCAGGAGCCAGGTGCTTCTCCTGGTCTCCCATGGGGTGCAGGGCCCAAGCACTTGGGCCATCCTCCACTGCACTCCCGGGCTACAGCAGAGAGCTGGCCTGGAAGAGGGGCAACCGGGACAGAATCCGGTGCCCCGACTGGGACTAGAACCCGGTGTGCCGGCACCGCAAGGCGGAGCATTAGCCTAGTGAGCTGCGGCGCCGGCACCGCGGCGCCGGCACCTCGGCGCCGGCATAACTCTTTCAAATAAAAAAATAAATCTTAAAAAAAAAAAAAAGAGGCAAATGCATGAGTAGCAATTATTTATCACCAGCAGGTGATGATATATTTTGAACAGGCCAAATTCTAACTTTCACACCAATCAGGGCTATTGGAGTCTATATTCATGTTTCCTGTCATCAGTGATGTCACTCAAGGAGATGAGAAAGGCCAGAAAAATTCTTTCAAGAAACTAATTGTTCAGGGGACAGCTAAGGACAACATGGCTGGTCCTATTGTTTTATTCTTCAACAGTTCACTGTGTGCTCCTAATTTGCTATAGTGGCAAATAAAGATAAGTTTTTCAGAACCCTCTTTGAAATCCAATCTGTTCTCAGTTCACATCCCTGTATTTCCACTAATGTAGATCTAAAACAAGAAAATTTTCTCACAAGAACTGAGCTGAGAATTTACAATCCATTTTATGTTCTTCTAGAGATTCTAGTAAAATTGTGTTCCAAATTATCCTTAATCTAGACGAGACAGCTAAAAGGGTTACATGGTGGAATTTGTTTTCAGGTAATCAGTAGTACTTTAGCATTTGAAAGTTAAAATTTTGAAGACCTGAAAAAAAAAAATACTAGGCTAAACGGGGAAGGCACTATATCTGGTCTCAATGAGGGAAAGCACTGTATTTAAAATGTAGGTTAGCAGGCCAACTCAGAACTGAGTAAGACACTCCACACTGAAGACTAAAAATGCCCCAGTCTAAAAGTTAACACTTGTCAGCCAATGCACATTTACAAAGCTATTCACAAGAAGCAGATTAAAGAAACAATCTATGTCCCTGTGTGGCTACTTCTGTAATTATCCACAAATACCGGGCAGAGGCTGTGGCACAGGAGCAGCTGCTGGGGTGCCTGCCGGCGTCCCATATCCACGTCCTGTCTCCGCGTCCCATCTAGCTTCCTGTGAATGCGCCCCGGGAAGCAGCTACCCATGGAGGAGACTAGGATTGAGTCCTCAGTTCCTGGTTTAGCGTGGCTCAGCCTGGCTGTTGTGGGCATTTGGAGAGTAAACAGCAGGTGAAAGATCTCTTTCTCTCTTATTCTGCTTTTCCAATTTAAAAAAGGCTTTATGGGGTCTGGTGTTGTCATGTAGTGGGCCAGCCACTGCCTTCAGCTCACACCGCATATGGGCGCTGGTTTATGTCCCTGTGGCATCACTTTCCATCCAGCTCCCTGCTAATGCATCTGGAAAAGCAGCACAAGATGGCCCAAGCATGTGGGTCAGTCCCCACCACCCACGGGGGAGACCCAAATGAAGCTGTTGGCTCCTGGCTTCAGCCAACAGACCATTCCAGCCTTTTGGGGAATGAACCAGCAGATGGAAGATCTCTCTCTGTGTGTCTCCTTCTCTCTGACTTTTTCAAATAAATATTTTTAAAATACTAGATATTATCACTATTAAGCAACATGAATTTACATCAGCTAAATTCACTCAAATGAAGAACTACGAGCATTTTGTTCCTTTTAAGGCATTTTAAAAATAAATTAAATTTTCTATTTACCTGCCTTTCCAGAAATACATATAAATATGAGGTGGGTATTTTTATGTGAGAAGGGGGGAAGGTCAAAGTCAAGACAGCAAAATTGCTTTTTCCAACCAATTGAGATTTTACTAAAAATGATACAGCATTAGTTTGTTTGTTTGTTTGTTTGTTTTTTGTTTTTTGTTTTTTTTTTGACAGGCAGAGTAGACAGTGAGAGAGAGAGACAGAGAGAAAGGTCTTCCTTTGCCGTTGGTTCACCCACCAATGGCCGCCGCGGCCAGCGCACCACGCTGATCCAATGGCAGGAGCCAGACCAGGTACTTCTCCTGGTCTCCCATGGGGTGCAGGGCCCAAGCACTTGGGCCATCCTCCACTGCACTCCCGGGCCACAGCAGAGAGCTGGCCTGGAAGAGGGGCAACCGGGACAGAATCTGGTGCCCCAACCGGGACTAGAACCCGGTGTGCCGGCGCCGCTAGGTGGAGGATTAGCCTAGTGAGCCGCGGCGCCGGCCGATTTTATTTATTTGAAAGACAGAGTTACAGAGACAGAGACAGAGACAGAGAGAGAGAGAGATCTTTCAGCAGCTGGTTCACTCCCCAAATGGCTGCAACTACCAGGGCTGGGCCAAGCCGAAGCCAGGAGCCAGGAGCTTCTTCCAGGTTTCCTATGTGGGTGCAGGAACCCAAGTACTTGGGCCATCTTCCACCGTCCTCCCAGGTACATCAGCAGGAAGCTGTATCGGAAATGGAACAGCCGGGAATTGAACTGGTGCCCATATGGGATGCTGGCACTGCAGGTGGCCACATGCCAGCCTCAGAACTTTTTTTTTTTTTTAAGATTTATTATTTTACTTGAAAGAGTTACCAAGAGAGGAGAGACAGACATCTTCCATCCACTAGTTCACTCCCCAGATGGCTGCAACAGATAGGGCCAGGCAAGGCCAACGCTAAGGAGCCAGGAACTTCTTCTGGGTCTCTCATGTGGGTGCAGGGGTCCAAGCTCCTGGCTCCTGGCTTTGGATCAGTGTAGCTCCAGCCATTGTGGCCATCTGGGGAGTAAACCAGCGGATAGAAGAGTCCCCTCTCTCTCTCTGCTTCTCTGTAACTCTGCTTTTCAAATAAATAAATAAAACCTAAAAAAAAAAAAAAAAAGCTACAGGGTTGCTGCTTAGTGGATGAGGCTAAGCATACGATGGGAGAAACCTAGACATGTAGGTATCAACAGCCATTTGTTGCATGAGCACATGACAGCCACACACTCAGTTATTCTCTGGAAGTATGGGTTCACAGAAAAAGCAAAGCAGGTGCTAGAAAGAGCATAGGCTCTGGGATCTGAGAGACCCAGCTGCAACCTGGCAGAGCTTCTGCAGTCTCACACGGCCACTGGCCACTGTGCAGCCATGGCAAGTCGCCGCAGTCCTCAGAGGCTCCCCTTTCCCGTCTATAAATAATATGGGAAACACCACTTCCTCTCTGCCAAGTGTCTGGGAGGTCCTATGAGACGACACATTTGAAAGCCTGGTCAAAACCAAGAGCCCAGAAAGTCTTCCAGACAGGTGGCAGGGATGCAAGCACTGGGCCATCTGCTGCCTTCTCAGGCCCCCTGGTGCCTCAGCAAGAGGCTGGGTCGAAAGCAGAGTATCCAGGACTTGAAACGGCACTGCGATATGGAATGCAGAGAATCCAAGCAGCGAGTGGCTTAGCCTGCTACACCACATACCTGCCTCCAAAATTTGCTTTTTAAAGGGAGCAAAGAAAATACAAGGATAATTTTAAAAGTTTGTGAAAAATTAAATGATGATTTAAGTACAAAAATATCAGAAATTCAGGCACACGAGAGTCTTCAATACATTCACCTGGTGTATATTATGAAAAAGTATGCATGAAATTCAAACATTTGCACCATGAACTTTAAAAAAAAAAAAAAAGATTTATTTATTTATTTGAAAGGCAGAGTTACAAAGAGACAGACAGCACGAGGGGCTCTTCCATCCTGATTCCCTCCTCAAATGGCTGCCAACAGCTGGAACTGGGCCAATCCAAAGCCAGGAGCCAGGAGCTTCTTCTGGTGCTTCCATGTGAGTACAAGGGCCCAAGGACTTGGGTCATCTTCAACTGTTTTCCCAGGCCATTGCAAAGAGCTGGATTGGAACCGGAGCAGCAGGAATGTGAACTGTTGCCCATATGGGATGCCGGCACTGCGGGTGGCAGCTTCGCCCACTACACCACAGCACTGGTCCCATCATGAACTTTTTGAAGTACCCTTATAGCTGATTCTGGGTTTAACTACAGGCTGTCACAATTAACGCTGGTTAATTTTGAAGAGAAAAAGAGGGCTATTTGGGGTACATGGCACGAGAGAACTTTTACTGCATGTCCTTTGAATTTTGAACCACGTGAATGCATTACTATTTAAAAATTAAGACCGGGGCCGGTGCTGTGGCATAGCGGGTAAAGCCGCCGCCTGAGGTGCCAGCATCCCATATGGGCGCCAGTTCGAGTTCCGGCTGCTCCAATTCTGATCCAGCTCTCTGCTGTGGCCTGGGAAAACACTGGAGGACGGACCAAGTCCTTGGGCCCCAGCATCCACTTAGGAGATCCAGAAGAAGCTCCTGGCTTCAGATCGGTGCAGCTCCGGCTGTTGCAGCCAGTTGGGGAGTGAACAGTGAATGGAAGACCTCTCTCTCTCTTGGTGTGCCTCTCCTTCTTCTCTCTGTGTAACTCTTTCAGGTAAAATAAATAAATCTTTTTTTTTAAAAAAGGAAATATTGACAGGTATTTGACAGAACTGAATAAAATGCAATAAATAAATAGAATAAAAATTAAGATCTACAAGAAGTCCTAATACCTACGTCCTAAATCAGACTTTCCTAGTTACTTGTGATAGTTCCTATCCAAGCAACAATATTAACTGAACTCTGCTATATGCACCAGGCATCATTTCAAACTCTGAGATCTGAGCAATTAAGATGGATAAATCCCTCATCGTATAGCATCTAGAAGGAACACAGCCGTTAAACAAGTAATCAGACCAATCAGTCAGGAAAATAGAGCACAGTGACAGGTGGTAAGGTGACGGCAATGGCTTTCTGGGGAGGGGTACCAAATGCAAAGGAGCCAGCCTGTGGGAAAGACCTCGCAAGAGAGATGAGACTGCACACCCCTCACAGGCAGAGGGGAGAGCACTCCTTCAAGGACTAGAATGGAGGCAGGAAGGGGGTGCGGGCAGCAAATCACACTGGGGATTAGAAGGGTGAAATACTGGTCCTTGGTAAGGAATTTAGATCTTTTTCTAAGTGATAAGAAAAAACTTTTGAGAGTTTTAAGGAGTAGGGAGATACGATCTGACCTACACGGTCTCACAGATCTCTCTGGCTGCCATCAGAACAGACTATAGGCCGCAGGACAGAGGCAGGGCCCAGCTAGAAAGCACTCCAATCAGCCTGGCGGCAGAGGACTTTCTCCAACTACAGTGGTGACTGCGGAGGTTATCAGATTCTAGGTGCTTTAAGGCAGAGCCAACAGAGCTTGGGCCCCAGCATCCCAGCTACTGCGGGATCTGGAAGATGAACTAGCGAACAGAAAACCTCTCCAGGCCAGTGCACAGTGGGTTAAGTCATGGCCTGCAGTGCCAGCATCTCATATGGGCACAGATTCAAGTCCTGGCTGCTCTACTTCTGATCCAGCTCCTAGCTTATAAGCGCCTAGGAAAGCAGAAGATGGCCTAAGTGCTCGGGCCCCTACACCCATGTGGGAGACCCAAAAGAAGCTCCTGTCTCCTGGCTTCAACTTGGTCCAGCCCTGGATTTTTTTTTTTTTTTTAAGATTTTCTTTATTTATTTGAGAGGCTGTTACAGACAGAGGGAGAGACAGAAAGAGGGGTCTTCCATCCACTGGTTTACTTCCCAAATGTCTGCAATGGCCAGAGCTGAGCTGACCCCAAGCCAGGAGCCAAGAGCTTCTTCCGGGTCTCCCACATGGGTGCAGGGACCTCAAGCACTAGGATAATCCTCTACTGCTTTCCCAGGCCATAGCAGAGATCTGGATCAGAAGAGGAGCAGCTGAAACTAGAACCGGCACCCATATGGGATGCCAACGCTGTAGGCAGAGGATTAACCTACTGCGCCACAGCGCTGGTCCCAAGCCCTGGGTTTGTTGTGGCCATTTGGTGAGTGAACCAGTGGATGGAAGACCTGTCTCTCTCTCTCTCTCCATTTCACCTTCTTTCTGTAACACATTTATCAGAAACTGATAAATAAGGCAGTCATAAAAATTGTAATGACAGACAACATGAACAGTATCACAAGCTTGATCAAATACATAGGTCATCCTGAACCCAACAAATGAAAAACATATATTCTTTTTTTTTTTTTTTTTTTTTTTTTGACAGGAGGAGTGCACAGTGAGAGAGACAGACACAGAGAAAGGTCTTCCTTTGCCGTTGGTTCACCCTCCAATGGCCGCCGCAGCCGGCGCACTGCAGCCAGCGCACTACGCTGATCTGAAGCCAGGAGCCAGGTGCTTCTCCTGGTCTCCCATGGGGTGCAGGGCCCAAGTACTTGAGCCATCCTCCACTGCACTCCCGGGCCACAGCAGAGAGCTGGCCTGGAAGAGGGGCAACCGGGACAGAATCCAGTGCCCCGACCGGGACTAGAACCCGGTGTACCAGCGCCACAGGTGGAGGATTAGCCTACTGAGCTGCGGTGCCGGCCAAAAAATATATATTCTTCTAAAAATACACAGAGCATTTTAAGTCACAAAGTCTTACTACATTTCAATAGCAGATACCATAAAAATATAGTCTTTGGGCCAGCATTGGGGCACAGTGAGTTAAGCCCTGGCTTGCAATGCTGGAATCCCATTTCAAAGTACCTGTTTGAGTCCTGGCTGCCCTGCTTCCAGTCGAGATCCCTGGTAACAAGCCTGGAAAAACAGCGGGAAGATGGCCCAGGTATTTGGGCCCCTGTCACCCATATGAGACACAAAATTCTGGGCTCCTGGCTTTGGCCTGGACCAGCTCCTGCCATTGCAGCCATCTGGGGAGTGAATCAACAGATGGAAGATGCTGCCTAACACAGCACAGTGCGCTGGCACCCCTACAGCAGACCACACCCTGCAGAGGAAGAGAGCCACAGCTCCCACGGGGGATGGCCACCCCCATGAGTGCAGACAGACAGTCCAGAGACAAAAGGCGGAAGAGCAAGAGAAGGAACTGACAAAAGTCATTATCAAAGATGTATGGAGTCCGCAACGTGGTGCAGTGGGTTAAGCCACTGGCCTGCAGTGCCGGCATCCCATATAGACGCAAGTTTGAGTCTCGGCTGCTCCACTTCTAGTCCAGCTCCCCGCTAATGGCCTGGGAAAGTGAAGGATGGCCCAAGTGCTTGGGCCCCTGATCCCATGTGGGAGATCTGGATGAAGTTCCTGGCTTTGGCCTGGCCCTGTCCAAGACACTGTGGACATTTGGGGAGTGAACCAGTGGATGCAAGATCTTCTCTCTCTCTCTCTCTGCAACTCTGCCTTTCAAATAAATAAATGACACCTTCCAAAAAAAAGGAAGATGTACAGCTGGCAATGACAGAGAGCCTTGCTGAACATATGCAGTACATTTTAATGGCCATAACAAACTGACTTGTGCTTTTTCATGAATACCCACTGGACTAATTTACCGCACAACATAATTTTTACTTTGGGGTGGAGAAAAGCATAAACAAACAATTTTAGGAACAAAAGAGAAATATAACTTAAGATACGAGGCAGACAGTGGAAGTGAGAAAAGCAAAGAGAACAGCACTGAGTCATTAAGGTAGAACAGAAGGAACCAGCAAAGGAGGTGAAGCAGTGAGTGACCGGAGAGATGAGCCAGAAAGGTAGAAGGCAGGTCGGATTAAGGGGTCACGACAGGAGTGGAGTCTGGCACGACGGTTAAGACGCTGTTTGGGATGCTGCATCCCATATCGGAGTGCCTGCGTTTGAGTCCAACTCCACTTTCATTTGAGCTTGCTGCTAACGTGTACCCTGGGAGGCAGCAGATGATGGCTACCACCTATGTGAGAAACCTGGATGGAGTTACCAGTTCCTGGCTTTGGTCTGCTCAGCCAAGCTGCTGCAGGTATTTGGGGAGTGAACCAGCAGATGGAAAATATCTGTGTCTCTCTCTGCCTCTCAAATAATAATGATAAGTAAAAAACAACAACAAATTGTAAAGATGCCAAGCAATATTTCTTTTTGTTAAAAAAAAGATTTATTTTATTTATTTGAAAGACAAGAGTTACAGAGAGAGGTAGAGCCAGAGAGAAAGGTCTTCCATCTGCTGGTTCACTTCCCAGATGGCCACAATGGCTGGAGCTGTGCCGATCTGAAGCCAGGAGCCAGGAGCTTCTTCCGGGTATCCCACATGGGTGTAAGGGCCCAAGGACTTGGGCCATCTTCTACTGCTATCCAAGGCCATAAGCAGAGAGCTGGATCGAAAGAGGAGTAGCCGGGACTAGAACCGGAGCCCATATGGGATGCCGGCGCTTCAGGCCAGGGCTTACTGCACCACAGCACTGGCCCCCAACCAAACAGTATTTCAATAAAGACAATTGATCACATCGAAATGCTGCTGAGAGGTCAAGGAAGCTGTGGGATGGTGGTATCCATTGGATCTGGTGACATAAAGTTTAACAACCAGTCCTGAGAATCACGGCACTTGGAGTCGTGGTCATATTGTAGAAGGACAACTGTTCCTATCTGCATTCACGAGTGTGGAGCTGAAAACACTCCAGCAATGAGAAGTCTCAGAGTGGCACTGTAGGAGAGCAAGTGGACCAGGCGACCAACGCTGTGGCACAGCGGAATACGCTGCTGCTTGCAGCGCCGGCATCCCATATGGGTGTTGGTTTGAGTCCTGGCTACTCCACTTCCAATCCAGCCATTTGGAGAGTGATCCAGCAGATAGAAGATCTCCCTCTGTGGTTCTCCTTCTCTCTATCTGTAACTCTGCCTTTCAAATAAATAAATAAATCTTTAAAAAAAAATGAACAAAGGAAGTAAACAGTTCAAAGAAGATACAGGGGCTGGGGGCCAGTGCTGTATCACAGTGGGTAAAGCTGCCTCTTGTGGTGCCGGCGTCCCATATCGGGGCTGGTTTGTGTCCCGGCTGCTCCATTTCCAGTCCAGCTCTCTGCTATGGCCTGGGAAAGCAGTAGAGGATGTCCCAGGTGCTTGGACCCCTGTAGCCACATGAGAGACCCAGAAGAAGCTCCTGGCTTCGGATTGGCGCAGCTCCGGACGTTGCAGCCAAATGGGGAGTGAACCAGCAAATGGCGGACCTATCTCTCTCTCCCTCTCTTTTTTAAAGAAAAGAAAACACAGGGGCTGGCATCGTAGCACAGCAGGTTAATCCTCTGCCTGTGATGTATGCATCCCAAATGAGCACCTGTTTGAGTCCCAGCTGCTCTATTTCCAATCCAGCTCCCTACTAATGCATCTGGGAAAACAGTGAAAGATGGCACCAGTGCCTGAGCCCCTGCTACCTGTGTGGGAGACCTAGAAGAACCCCAGGCTCCTGGTTTTTCCCTGGCTCATCTCTAGCCGTTTGGGGAATAATGAACCAGTAGATAGAGGATGCCTATCTCTGTCTCTCCCTCTAACTCTGCCTTTCAAATAAATAAATAAATAAATAAATAAATCTTTTAAAAAACAAAGAAATACATCTTGTTCTTAAATATACAGAATGATGCTCACCCTCACTCATCATCAGGGACAAACAAAACTTGCACTAATATCTCATATTTCAGAACAGATGCAAAAATCTGACAACACACTGTTGGCAACGTGGTACTACTGCAGGTCCTCTCATGTTTGTGGAAGTACAATAGTACAAACCCTATGGAGGGCAAGTTGGCAATATCTATCAAAAACACACACAATTGCCCTTTGACCCAGAAGCACCTCCCAGGGAAATTTACCCTATAGAAATACACCTGCCTCCGTACAAAGGTTATTCACTCTAGCATCAGTTAAAATTTTTTTTCAAGTCACAAATAATCAGGCGTCAAGTGGTTATATAAGCTAAGGTAGGTTCACAGCATGGAGTACAAAGCAATTACAGGCATAAAGAAATTCTCTTTTAGAATATGAAAGACCCTGTGTATATATATATATATATCTAAATACAACTTCATATATCTCATTAGGAAGAAAAACCAATACAAAACACCACAAATTTTATGTTCCCTTAATTCCTTCAACTTCCTATTCAAATAACATCTAATTGTAACAGAAGGTTGAGTCAAAAACAAATAAAATGATTATCAAATGTTGGAACCATGTAAATGTTTTTTACATAATTAAAATACAAAATAAAAAAATCAATCTCTCATGCTCTAAAATTAGATTATGGTAATAGTTGAACAACTCTGTAAATTGACTAAAGATCACTGGAACTCTACACTTAATACAGATGGCAAGAAGGAAAACAACTTGGGTTAAGTTTAAAAGGCAGTGAAAGAGAAAACTAGCAAAAACAATGCCCCCCAACTTCAGTGTGTACACAAATGACCTGGGGATCCTCTTGGAACGCAGAATTTAGTTTAATAATTCTCGAGTGGGACCGGTATTCCTCATTTCCAACAAGCTCCTTGCTGCTGGTGCTTTATGGACCACACTCTGAGGACTGAGACAACTTCAACAGTGAGCAGAGCTCTGCTCTCAGAACTAGGTGAGGGGCCGGTGCTGTAGCAAAGTGGGTAAAGTCGCCACCTGCAGTGCCAGCATCCCAAATGGATGCCGGTTCTAGTCCCGGCTGTTCCACTTCTGATCCAGCTTTCTGCTGTGGCCTGGAAAAGCAGTAGAAGATGGCCCAGGTCCTTGGGCCTCTGCACCCACATGGGAGGCCCAGAAGAAGCTCCTGGCTCCTGGCTCCTGATCAGTACAGCTCCAGCCATTGCAGTCAATTGGGGAGTGAAGCAGCAGATGGAAGACCTACCTCTCTCTTTCTCTGCCTCTCCTTCTGTGTTTAACTCTGACTTTCAAATAAATAAATCAATCTTAAAAAGAAGTAGTAGTAGGTGAGACATTAGGCAGGCAGCGCTGGGGTTGTAAAGCCACCACCTGCAACACCTGCATCCAATAGGGGTACCAATTTGAGTCCTGGATGCTCTACTTCTTATCCAGCTCCTTGTTAATATGTCCGGGAAAAGCAGCACAAGATGGGCCAAGTGCTTGGGCCCTTGCACCCCTGTGGGAGACCCAGAAGAAAAAACTGGCTCCTGGCTTCCATGCAACCCAGCCCCAGCCACTGAGGCCATTTGGAGAGTGAGCTAGTTGATGAAGATCGCTCTATCTCTCCCTCTCTCTGTAACTGTGCCTTTCAAATAATAATAATAATAAAAAAGTGTAATGTGGCAATGAACCCATGGAGAGAGAGTAAGGGTCAAAAGGGTCTCCCTCTTTTAGATGAGGAAAATAACATGACTGTAGGGAGAGAGAATTTGAGGGTGTAGGAGAGAGGGAAGGGAGAGAGGCAAAGTGAGATGCAATTATTAGGCTAGGAGGGGAGGTGGCCTCAGGAAGAACAGCCAGTGCTTCCGTAACTAAGGAGGTGAGGCAGAGTCCACCAGCGCTGATGCTAGAAACAGAGGTGATATGAGCACAGGAATTTGTAGTTCTCTTCTGACTGCCTTCATGTTCCCAGTGAAATAAAAAGTCAAGTCATCAACTAAGAGTAAGGCACGCCAGGGAAGGAGACTGCTGAAGGCTTAAGGACAGAGATGTTAAATTGTTTAGAAAGACGGAGAGTCAGTACGGTGGGCCTCCTAGTGGGTGCCACCCAACCCTTTAAGGGGCATGGTCATGGATTTAAAGGAAGGCCAGTCAGCACAGCTGTGCGAGGGGCTTCAGCCACACCCAGCAGTGCAAGTGCAGATGTGCAGCAGCAAAAGATTTGGATTAGCAAGTGCTGGGACGCAGGTGTGTGGTTGCCAGGGCATGAGGATGAGGGGGATACCACAGAAAGTGACAATGAGGCAGGAGCTAGAGATGGCTGAGAAAGGGAGGGAAGTGATATCTCACAAGGTAATGCACTCTGATGACCTGAGTCCCAAAGGCAGCTGATTTACTAATGCAGCACATTGTCTAATACTACCAAAAGAAAAAAACTACAAAAAATGTTTTTGGGGGTCAGCACTATGGCGTGGCGGGTAAAGCTGTCACCTGAAGTGCCAACATCCCATATGGGTGCTGGTTTGAGTCCTGGCTGTTCACTTACGATCCAGCTCTCTGCTGTGGCCTGAGAAAGCAGTGGAAGATGGCCCAAGTCCTTGGGGCCCTGCACCCGTGTGGGAGACCCGGAAGAAGCTCCCAGCTCCTGGCTTCGGATCGGCGCAGCTTCAGCTGTTGTGACCATTTGGTGAGTAAACCAGCGGATGGAAGAGCCCTCTCTCTCTGCCTCTGCCTCTTGTAACTCTGGCTTTCAAATAAATAAGCAAAATCTTTTTTAAAAAAAATCATATTGGGGTCGGTGTTGTGGCACAGCAGGTTGAACTGCAGTGGCGACCCCAGCATTGCAGCTTCAGTCCTGGCTACTCCACTGCCAGTCCCACTCTCTGCTGATGTACTTGGGAAAACAGCAGCCACACGACAGACCTGGGTCAAGCTCCAGGCTCCTGGCTTCGGCCAAGCACAGCCCCATATATTGTGGTCATCTCAGGAGTGAACTAGTGGATGGAAGATCTCTCTCCATAACTCTCTCAAAACAATAAATAAATCCTTTAAAAAAAAAAAAGGCAAAAAACAATGAAAAGCAGGTACTAGATAAATCTTCACACAACGAGTGGGTGTGAAACCATCGCATCTCCTTGGGTGCATGATAATCTCTTCAAAGTCAGGGCCCGTGTCTTATACTTCTGTGATGTCCCATAGCCTGGTACTATGCTTTTCTCTCTGTCACTCAGTCTCCAATATTTATTAAATAAAACATTAAGGCGAGCCAGGGCCTCCTGAGCAGAGGTAAGGTGAGCAGAGCGAGCACCCACACACTTCTGCAGAGCAGAACAGCAGCAAACACAAAGATGCGCCAGATGGGAAGCAACTAGGCAAAGCGCGGCAGGTGACAGCAGTAAGCCACAAGGCGGTGCAGCGTTACCCTGTTCCTGGGAACCAAAGCCAGGCACGCACACAGGAGGCACAGGTGTCTTAACTGGCATCTTACTGCTAAACACCCGCCCAATTCTTATTTTTATTTAAACATAAAAAACTTATAAAGTCCCTCCTCATGAATGATTGCTTCTTTCTTTTTCTCTACTCCTACAAGTATAGCAAAGACTGAATTACCATACTTCTAGTACAATATATTTACTTTTCAAAAAATCCAAGGGAGGTATATGGTGCAGTGGTTAAGATACAGCTGGCGCTCTGGTGCAGTGGGTTAATCCTCCGCCTGCGGTGCTGGCAACCCATATGGGTGCTGGTTCAAGTCCTGGCTGTTCCACTTTTGATTGAGCTCTCTGCTATGGCCTGAGAAAGCAATAGAAGATAGCCAAAGCACTTGGGCCCTTGCACCCACGTGGGAGACATGGAAGAAGCTCCTGGTTCCTGGCTTTGGATCAGCTCAGCTCCAGCTACTGCAGGCATTTGGGGAGTGAACCCGCAGATGGAAGACCTTTCTCTGTCTCTGCCTCTCACTGTCTGTAACTCTACCTCTCAAATAAATAAATAAAATCTTAAAAAAGAAGAAAAATAACAACACTGTTTGGGACTCCTACATTTTAGATCACAGTGCCTGGGTTCTGATTCCAGCTTCCTGCTAATGCCCACCCTGAGAGGCAGCAGGCGATGGCTCAAGTCCCTGGGTCCCTGCCACCCACATGGGAGACCTGGCTGGAGTTCCAGGCTGCTGGCTTTGACCTAGCCCAGCTCTGGCTGTTACAGACATTTGGAGAGTAAAGCAGTGAACAGAAGATCTCTGTCACTCTCTCTGCCTTTCAAATAAAGTGAAAATAAATAAAAATTTTAAACACTAAAAATAAATCCTTATTACAAAATAGAATTGACGAAGTATTACCCAATTTACCTATTGGTAGAGAAGCTGTGACATTAATAAAAATGCTAAAAGAGCAATTGCCAAATGACGTTCAATCAGAAATTAAGATAAAGCATTTCTGAAGCTAGAAATAAGAAGGCAACAAGTTTGAAAAGTTTCAACAATTGATCTATACACATTTCAGGGCAAATCATCCATTTGAGACACAATATTCTCTTCTTTTTATGCAAAGAAATCCTCCCCTGGCCCTTTACTCCTTCATTCCACTGGCTATTAATCACTTAAGCCAAAGCCACACGTAGAGGACATGCCTTCTACTTTAAATCACATTGTCAACGCAAAAACACAAACTTTTTAAAGACAGGTAGTGTCTTTTTAAAAAGAGTATTAATTTATTTGAGAGGCAGAAGGACAGAGTGCACATCCACTAGTTTACTCTCCAAAGGCCTGAAACAGCCAAGGCTAGGAATCCAACCTAAGTCTCCCACGTGGGTGGCAGGGACCCAGGTACTTGAGTCATCACCTGCTGTCCCCCAGGGTGGACCTTAGCAGGAAGCTGGAATCAAGAGCAGAGCTGGGACTTGAACCCACATACTCTGACATGGGATATAGACACAGCAAGTGGCTTCCCACCACTTGCACCAAACACCTGCCTCAGTAAATGTTCTAAATCACTCTTTGTTTGTTTCTTCTTATTTCTGACAGGCAGGGTTAGACAGTGAGAGAGAGAGACAGAGAAAAAGGTCTTCCTTCTGTTGGTTCACCCCCTAAATGGCTGCTACGGCTGGCGCGCCGCGCCAATCCAAAGCCAGGAGACAGGTGCTTCCTCCTGGTCTCCCATGCAGGTGCAGGGCCCAAGCACTTGGGCCATTCTCCACTGCCTTCCTGGGCCACAGCAGAAAGCTGGACTGGAAGAGGAGCAACCAGGACAGAATCCGGTGCCCCAACTGGGACTAGAACCCAGGGTGCTGGTGCCGCAGGTGGAGGATTAGCCTAGTGAGCCACGGTGCCGGCCTCTAATTCACTTTCACATCACTTGTGATAGATAATAGTGCCTTGGACACAAAAGTACTTCAAACCGTCCATGGAAAAATAGAATTAAAAGATAAGGGGCCGGGGCCAGTGCTGTGGCATAGCAGGTAAAGCCGCTGCCTGCCTTGCCGGCATCCCATATGGATGCCAGTTCTAGTCCTGGCTGTTCCACTTCCAATCCAGCTCTATGCTATGGCCTGGGAAAGCAGTATAAGATGGCCCAAGTCCTTGGGCCCCTGCACCTGTATGGGAGACCCAGAAGAAGCTCCTGGCTCCTGGCTTCAGATCGGCACAGCTCTGGCGATTCTGGCCATCTGGGAGTGAACCAGCAGATGGAAGACCTCTTTCTCTCTGCCTCTCTGTAACTCTGCCTTTCAAAAAAATAAATAAATCTTTTTTTTAAAAAAAGATAAATTTTCTGGGCCAGTGTTGTGGCATAGTGGGCAAAGCCACTGAGGGCAGTTCCAGAATCCCATATTGGCTTCTGCCTTCAGATCTGCCAGGCTCCAGCCAATTAGGCCATATGGGGAGTGAACCAGCGGATGGAAGACCTCTCTCTTTCTGCCTTGCCTCTCTGTAACTCTGCCTTTCAAATGAGTAAATAAATATTAAAAAATAAATAAATAAAAGAATTCAATCCAGGTCTCCTACACAGGTGACAGGGGCCCAAGTACTTGGGCCATTAGCTACTGCCTTTCCAGGAGCATTAGCAGGAAGCTGGATCAGAAGTGAAACAGCTGGGACTTAACACAGTACTGTGATATGTGATGGGAGCATCCTAGGTGGTGGCTTAACCCGCTGTGCCACAGTGCTTTCCCCTCTCCACTCTCCCTACTTCCAGAAACGGTTTCCACTGGTTTAACTCTGAATGCCTGCAACAAAACTTGGCTGGATCCAAAGCCAGGAGTCAGGAATTGAATCCAGGTGGCCATGTAGCTGGCAGGGAACCAATTACTTGAGCTGTCACTGCTGCCTCCCAGGGTCTGCATCAGCAGGGGTCAGGAAAGGAGCCAAGTCTGGATGTTTTAACCACAGAGCCAACTGCCCACCCTCCATGAATTTTTTTTTTTTTTTTTTTTTTTTTTTTGACAGGCAGAGTGGATAGTGAGAGAGACAGAGAGAAAGGTCTTCCTTTGCCGCTGGTTCACCCTCCAATGGCCGCCACAGCCAGTGCGCTGCGGCCGGCGCACCGTGCTGATCCGATGGCAGGAGCCAGGTTCTTATCCTGGTCTCCCATGGGGTGCAGGGCCCAAGCACTTGGGCCATCCTCCACTGCACTCCCTGGCCACAGCAGAGAGCTGGCCTGGAAGAGGGGCAACCGGGACAGAATCCAGTGCCCCGACCGGGACTAGAACCCGGTGTGCCGGCGCCGCAAGGCAGAGGATTAGCCTAGTGAGCCGCGGCGCCAGCACCTCCATGAAATTTTAAGACCTTTCATATGAGTTACCAATAAATGCTTGATGAATGAGAATTGATTTATTTATTTATTGATTGATTGACAGGCAGAGTGGACAGTGAGAGAGAAACAGAGAGAAAGGTCTTCCATTGCCGTTGGTTCACCCTCCAATGGCCGCCGCGGCCGGCGCACCACGCTGATCCGATGGTAGGAGCCAGGTATTTATCCTGGTCTCCCATGGGGTACAGGGCCCAAGCACTTGGGCCATCCTCTACTGCACTCCCGGGCCACAGCAGAGAGCTGGCCTGGAAAAGGGGCAACCGGGACAGAATCCGGCGCCCCGACAGGGACTAGAACCCGGTGTGCCAGCACAGCAAGGCGGAGGATTGGCCTAGTGAGCCGCGGCGCCGGCCAAATGTCCTGAAAATTAAAACTGGTTACATTTACCAATTAAGGCTGTTACTGCTTTTAATGCCTTCTCCTGAATTACCAAACAGGGCCATATTTTGTATTTCTATACCAACAAAAAGCAAATAAAATTATTCTCTAAGATAGCAAAGAGCAGACTGTAAAAATCTTTACATTTATTATTTTTAAAGATTTATTTATTTATTTGAAGGCAGAGTCACATAGAGGCAGAGGCAGAGAGAGAGAGAAAGAGAGAGAGAGAAAGGTCTTCCATCTGCTGGTTCACTCCCCAATTGGCTGCAACAGCTGGAGCTGCGCCGATTCGAAGCCAGGAGCCAGGAGCTTCTTCTGGGTCTCCCACACAGGTGCAGGGGCCCAAGGACTTGGGCCATCTACTGTTTTCCCAGGCCATAGCATAGAGCTGGATTGGAAGCGAAACAGCTGGGACTCAGACCAGTGCCCATTTGAGATACGGGCACTGCAGGTGGTGGCTTTACCTGCTACGCCACAGCACCAGCTCCCTCCTAAAAACAAAGTCCTTTAGCCGGCAGCCAAACTAGTCAGTGATACAATCTTCCATGCTTTGACTCTTGCTTGTTTTCTACCAAAGCACAGTATCACTTAATTCACTAGACTAACTCAGTGATGAGTGCAAGAGACAATTCTTCAAGGGCAGAGACCTTGTCTACAACCAGCATCTAGAAGAGCACTTCATATCTGATCACACATTCCATAAATATGTGCGGAAAGAATATTCACGACTGTCTTACAGATTTCACTGACATGGGTGCTTCGTACTACTGTTCATTCACATCTACAAGATTCTTTCAGAATCTCATCACCACCCTCCTTCAAGATCAAGAGAAGCAAGGCAGATGTAGGAAAGTAGCTCTGCTTTAAAAGACAGAGTAAGATGTTACTTCTCAGGGCCAGCACTGTGGTGCTGAGTTAAAGCGCCGCCCACAGAGCTGGCATTCCGTATGAGCACTGCAAGTCCCAGCTGCTCTACTTCCAACCCAGTTCCCTGCTGATGTACCTGGGAAAGCAGCAGAAGACGGCTCAAGGGGCCGGTGCATTGGCGCAGCGGGTAAACGCCCTGGCCTGAAGTGCCAGCATCCCATATGGGTGCCAGTTTTAGTCCCAGCTGCTCCTCTTCCAGTCCAGCTCTCTGCTGTGGCCTGGGATAGCAGTGGAAGATGGCCCAAGTCCTGCACCGGCGTGGGAGACCCGGAAGAAGCTCCTGGCTCCGGATCGGCACAGCTCCGGCCGTTGCGGCCATCTGTGGAGTGAACCAACAGATGGAAGACCTTTCTCTCTGTAACTCTGTCTCAAATAAATAAATAAATCTTAAAAAAAAAAAAAAAAGGATTAAGGTGTTTTTCTCTCCAGTATGTGAATCTAAAGTAAAATAAATAAATCTTATCAATATTTCTGAAGTCAGAGCCGGCGCCGTGGCTCAATAGGCTAATCCTCCACCTTGCGGCGCCGGCACACCGGGTTCTAGTCCCGGTTGGGGCGCCGGATTCTGTCCCGGTTGCCCCTCTTCCAGGCCAGCTCTCTGCTATGGCCAGGGAGTGCAGTGGAGGATGGCCCAGGTGCTTGGGCCCTGCACCCCATGGGAGACCAGGAAAAGCACCTGGCTCCTGGCTCCTGCCAGGATCAGCGCGGTGCGCCGGCTGCAGCGGCGGCCATTGGAGGGTGAACCAACGGCAAAAGGAAGACCTTTCTCTCTCTGTCTCTCTCTCTCCACTGTTCCACTCTGCCGTGTCGAAAAAAAAAAAAAAAAAAAAAAAAAAAAAAATTTCTGAAGTCAGTAAGTAGCCCTTAATGGAAAAGAAACACAGGTTTACGTCATTTAGCAATCCCATGTATATAGTAAATTAAGCACAAGATTTCCAAAGTAAATCTGATATAAAAATCTTGAAGACCTGTAGGCCCCTTCTAAATGATCATCAGGGAGCAGGGAGAATTACAATGGGGAGAAGGGTGTGAACTTGACCTCTGACGCAGTCGAGTATCTAACACTAGTCTGTGGGGGAACCCTAAAAGGCATCCAGTTGATCCCCATACAAAGCAGGAATTCCTCCAGCATCACCGAAAGGTGGCCCTGCCATTTTTGACAGAGACAAACATTTTCCCTCAATAGAAAGCTCATTCTTTCCCAACTCAACCCATTCCCTTCCTGTGTAATTCTGGCCCTAAAAATGTTTCCCCTTTTATCTACTCATCTTCTGACCTTTAACTTCATGTCAGCATGGCAAGTATAAAGTTTTTCTGGTCTAGAATTCGGAAATCACAGTATTTCCCATCTTGCTTTCCCTAACACCCCACCCCTCCAATTTGAATTCAAGTAGGCAACAAATCCAAGACATAAACATATTCCCCCAACAGAAAAATTACTTTAATTTCATTAAAAAGTTATTGAGATGGACCCAGCATTGCACTGTAGCAGGTAAAGCCACCTGTGACACCAGAATCCCTAACTCTTTTATTTTTTTAATCATTTTTTTAAAGGGGAGACAGAGAGAAAGGTCTTCCTTCCAACGGTCCACTCCCCAAATGGCTGCCACGCCCGGAACTACACCAATCCAAAGCCAGGATCCAGGAGCTTCTTCCCGGTTTCCCATACGGGTGCAGGGGCCCAAAGACTTGGCCATCTTCTGCTGCTTTCCCAGGCCATAGCAGAGAGCTGGATTGGAAGAGGAGCAGCAGGGACTAGAACCGGTGCCCATAGGAGATGCCAGCACCAAGGCGGAGGATTAACCAAGCGAGCCACAGCGCTGGTCCTCTCTCACCCTTTTAAATAAATAAACAAAATCCTAGGAAAAAAT